GAGGAGATTAGCATTTGAGTCAGTGAACTGCAAGAGAAAGACCCACCCTCAGTCTAAGTGGGCACCATCTCATCAGCTGCCAGCACAGCTGAAAAGCAGGTGGGAGAAGGTAGAAGAAGCTGGCTTGCTGTGTCTTCTGGCTTTCATCTGTCTCTCCTGTGCTGGATGATTCCTGCCCTTGAACATCAGGCTCCGCGCTCTTCGGCCTTTGGACTCTTGGACTTACACCAGTCATTTCCAGCAGACTCTTGGGCCTTTGGCCATAGACTAAAGGCTGTACTGTTGGCTTCCCTACTTTTGAGCTTTGGGGTTTGGAACAAGCCACTACTGGCTTCCTAGCTCCTCAGCTTGATGACAGCCTATCGTGGGATTTCACCTTGTGATCGTGTGAGTCAATTCTACTTCATAAACTCTCTTTCATATATACATATATCCTATTAGTTCTGTCCCTTTGGAAAACTCTGGCCAATAAACCCCGTCCCTGGCAGAATGCTTGGATGAGGGTGGCAGCTGATGCCCTGTGACCCTGCTGCTGGTGGGGGGTGGGCAGGGTGGTTTTCAGTGGCAGCAACCATGGGCAGGTGGTTGGGGAATGCATGCTTTGGCCCTGAGTGGCAGATGTGCATGAGGTAACCTGTCCTTAGGTTGCTTGTAAATGTGTGGTGGAAACTGCAGTGGGTGGGCAGTGTCACTGCCAGTGGTTTGCACTTTGGGTCTGGCAGTAGCAGCCAGCAGTGGCAGTCATGCGTGGAGGATGTCAATGGGTGACCCGGGGCGTGGAGGTGCAGAGGCTTTTGGGCCTCATGACAGGATTCAGTCTACTGAGGTATGGGCTCAAAATAGAACCTTGCTGTAGCTGCTTAGGACTTGCTGGGGGAGGTGTGTGTGGCACCCAGCGTGGGCTCCCTTCTGAAGCAGTAGAGTTGTATAGTCTTCAGGCAGCTCCGTATGTTAGTTTTAAGGTCCTCAAGGGTCAAGGAGCTATCTCATGGTTAGGACTGCAAGAATCTACAGTGGGAATGTGGACTGCTGGGAGAACTCTCACTTATCCTTTCCCTGGGCTCCCAGCTGGTCGTGACGGAGCAGGCTGCCTCACTTCTCTCCCTCCTTTCCTTAGGTGTTTCTGTTGAATTCCTGTGTTCTCTTTCAGAAGCTCTATTTGAAGTGTGATTATCTTCTTGCTATTTTGGTTCTTCTTTGTAAAAACACAAGTACCAGTTGCCTCTAGTTAGCTATCTTGAATCCCCTCCACTGGGTTTGAACTTTTTTAAGGTTACTGGGGTGTGTGAATGTGTGTGCATGTGTGCACTATTATAAATGGGTCTTTTCAATTACATCCTCCAAATGGTTCTTCTGTTAATTAGTTTTACATAATTTTATTTACTGAATCCCTAATAGTTTGTGGTAGTTCTCCTCTGTTTTCTTCAATTGTCCAGGTATATAAAGTCCTTTCTAATTATTAGATGTAAAACTCTACAGTAGGCACAGTAACACAGATTCTGAAGTAACATGATTAGTGGTTGATGCCTATTCTTTTTCAAATCCACTTTCTTAAACCTTTCCAAGGAGGCAAGGGAGAGGGTCATGGAAGAGAGGAAAAGGGGAGAGACAGAGAAATGTGAGGCCACTGCATGACAGAGAGGCAAGGGCTGAGTCCCTACATCTCAGTGTTTGCCCAGCCTAAATTTTCTCAGATAGGTACGTGAAATAGATGTGATGTTTTACATGAGGCTCTTGAAGCTCTTAAAATTCTCAGCCAGGTTATAAAGCCCAGAATCAATCCCACATATATTTATGCTGAGACACACAAGTGTCACAGGTAGTGCCAAATAGCAGCCATGACCCAGATGGGAATGAATTATGTAGCTGAGGCCCTGAACGCCTGCCCTGCAAGCTGACCGCACTGGCTTGTCTCACTCAGTCAATTAAATTCACAATAATGGTGTTCCACATTTTATACAATTGCATTTGAAAACAGATTTTTTTTCATGGACCAATTATTACAAATAACAATGTTTTCAAGAAGAACATAATCCCCAGAGACCAAATTTATAAAAATAAGTAATTGGGAAAGGAAAAAGGAAAAAACAGGGACGGAAATGGAATTAGAAGATGAAATATAGGAGTTTTAAGCCATAAGCATTATGCATCTTCAAACATCGGAAACAAGTACAATAAAATATCAACATTTTATGAATTTCAATATTAGATGCGTGTAACTTTCTGTGGGTTATTGTAGATACATTTTATTAAAGTATAATTTACACAAGTCAAATGCATAACTCTTAAATTTTACATGAAGTTTTACATAAGTATACACTCACATAATCACCACCCAGGTCAAGATATTTTCACCCTTCAGAAAGATTCTACTTTTCCTCACTTCAGTCAAGATCTTATTCCCAAAAAGTAGCCGCTGTTCAGATTATCTATTTACTATTGGTTGGGTTTTCCTAAACTTATATAATGGAATCAAACAGAATGTATTGGGCCTGGTTTATTTTGCTCAACATTTTTCGATGAACATACTTCATGTTGTTGCATGTTGCCTGTTTTCATTTACACATAGCATTCATTTCAGTGAATGTACCAGAATTCAACCATCCTACTGCTGATGGTCTCCAGTACAAGTGCTCAAAGCCAAAGTGGTGAAGAACACACGACTAGATGAGAAAAAGAAGTCAGGATTCTAAATCCATATACTTTTTTACTTTGTGCTTTCTGCCTAGACACATCAATAACAGGTTACCAGTGGAAATTTCCCAGGAATAATTATAGTTGCAGGGAGAACGTTGTTTTAGATAATGATATGTTTGCCCCTTCAGATTCACTCCTTTCCTTCTCCACCAAGCTCTCAGCCAGAAAGCTGGCCTATTTGGATAGATCTAATCAACAGCTCCCATATTTGCAGTCTTCCACTTGGAGCCAGCAAACAGAAAGCCCAGGGAGGGGATGAAATTAGGGTATTCATTTATGCCCTAGTTTCTTTCTGAGGGCTTAAGACCCACTGTGTGCTTTGAAGGAAATCATACTCTTCTTAAGGTAGCCTGATTTACAGCAGCAGTCCCCAACCTTTTTGGCACCAGGAAGACAATTTTTCCATGGACTGGGGGTGGGGGATGGTTTTTGAATAAAACTCTTCCACTTCAGATCATCAGGCATTAGATTCTCATAAGGAGGGCACAACCTAGATCCCTCACATGCGTAGTTCACGATAGGGTTCATGCTCCTATGAGAATCTAATGCCACTGCTGATATGACAGGAGGCAGAGCTCAGGCAGTCATGCTCACTTGCCTGCCACTCACCTCCTGCTGTGCAGCCTGGTTCCTAAGAGTTCCTAACAGACTATGGTATCCAGCCCGTGGCCCAGGGACTGGGGACCCGTGCTCTACAAGACTATGCTTCCAGGTCCTAGTGACTTCTGGCCTTTTGCACCCAGGAGTGGAAAATCACTCTGCTGATTCTACAGGGGGTTTCTGCACTACTGTGTGTTGGTCCCCTACATCTCACACACACTTTCATAATTAATCCTTTGTAAATAGCCCTCTTTGATGTATCCTAATTTGAGGGTGCCCTCACTTTGTGGTTGAGACTTGACTGGTGCAAATATTTTAAATGTGTTTCTCTAGGTGCTAAGTCAAAAGAAGGAAAAATTCTGTTACACACACACACACACAAATTTCATATACCCTGTGGCTAAAAGACACAGTGGCAGAGGCAGTAACAGGCTCACAGTTCCCCACTGCCCACATCCTGAAAAGCATGTGGGCATTAAGGAGGTTGCTCTGATAAAGGAGCCAGCCCCTCTCCTTGGGTTGTGAAGCTTCTTAGTTGCATGACTGAGAGGCACCAGCCCCTCTCCTGGCATGCTCATGGTCTAGCGTCCAAGCCTACTGCGCCAGCTCTGTGATGGGGTGGCACTTTGCTTTAGCCCTGCTCTCCTTTTTTGGCTTCACATCTTGGAGTGTCCGAGTCCTCCCTGCATAATAGGCTAGGATTCAAGACTTATAATTGCAGGGACAGGATGTGGTCAGCCACCCAATGGCCTGCAGCCTGGATCCACTGAAGCAGATTTTCATGAAGCAATTTAGTTCCCAAATAGTTTGCAAGTGGCAACTTGAACTCTGAGTGGCAGGCCTGCACAGGTGACCATTCCTTAGCTCTCAAATTCATTTTATTCTTCCACCATTATAAAACCCAACATGAAGACTTAAATATGTTTTATATAAAACTAAAATATTCTGAGCATAACCAATTAATGCTAAATTATGTTAACACCTTAAGTGTGCAGATCTTGAACAAAGCTACTTTATGTACTTAACAGAAGCATATCCTAAGATTTCAAGTCATTTATAAAAGAATACTGTTACCAACATATAAAAAACTGTTATCATTTATAATTATGCATGTGTGGTTGATAAAGTTTCTGCAAAATAATGGAAAATGGAAATAAGATATTAGGGTTGATATGAAGCTGCTAATGCAACACATATAATCAACACCAAATATTCATGTTCAGGTATCTCACTCACTTTATGAATAAGTGTATGTGAACTTGTTACAAATTTATACATAAATCATTATTTTATAATCCTGTATATTAAGTTCTATGCAAATTTCACTTGAGGAATGTTACAGATCAATGGTTTACATAACAGCATAATATTATTATTTATATCCCAATTCCCAATTCCTGCTATAGCAGCTACTTTCCATTTCCATTGGAAGCCACCTTGTCCCTGAGCAACTGTCTGTCACCAGCTGTGGCTAGTGCACAGAAGAGTGCTCAGTTCTGTGATGTTTCCTATTTCACAGATGCTTTGTCTCCGGAAGCATTTATTTATGATCTAACTCAAGGAAGAAAAAAAAAGAAGTTTGGTGCTAGTCTTTGTAGGATTCAGAAAGAAAAGAAAATTTTTTTCTCAGTAGATTATGGTCTCATGAGGTAACATGGCCAGGCCATGGAGGCAGTATTGGAAAATAAAAAATATAACACCACTGATCTTGGCAAACCTTTTTTATTTTGTGATAAAAATGCTTTCATATAAATTTCATCTTAACTACCTTTAGCATGAAATGGAAAAGTAAAAACAAAGTGTGCATTTTCCTTACTATGTTTAGTCAGGAATATGCGGTCATTTTTATTGGTTATTGGGTTTCTCATACAAACAGATATATCACTTTTAAGAGAAATGTACACAAGGAAATAACCATAGTACCAGTTATTAGTGGGGGCCTCTGGGTACATCAATGTGTCCTCCCAAATAGTCATCATACATTCAATGTACTGGTTAGGGTCAAAACCCCCAAACCACCTCTCAACAAAACATTATACCTTTGGTTCTTTACTATGCAAGAATCACAAACTGGCAAATTCAATAAGATGATGCAATGGATTTGAGCATCATAGCTGATTGCTTACACTGAAATCTTTAATTCTCAGACTCTCTTCCTCCCACCTCTCCCTCCCCCACCATCACATACAGAGGGAGCAAATAAGCAAACAAAAAACCTATCCCCAAAGGCAGGCAGAAGAGGAGTCAAAGAAAGGAAGAATTTATAAAAATAAAAATAAACCAAAAATGGCAGCAGAGGATCTATACATGGCATAAAAGATGTGTCTTGTAAAAACTGAGTCTCCAATTCAGAATCCAAATAAGAAAGTTATTATCCAGCTTACCTTCCCTTTTATTAGATACCACACAATTCAAGAGTTCTTTAAGAGATCAGTAAAATGTCTGAAAGGCAGTGTTGTCCTCCTCCTCCTCCTCACTGAAACCTGTTGTCTATAATGACAGCTTTCACAATCCCTTTCTCCAAACCCAAAGGATCCAAATTAAAGTATTCCGAGAAAAAGAAACAAGCAATTTGGTCCAACATTGTGCTTAGGGAAAAGGGAGGATATAAAATATTCAAGTGGCTGGATCAGCGGCTAATACTTCCAGAAGTGGGGAAGGAGCAGGAGGGCAGGAAGGGGCAGGTATGCTGTGTCCAGAGAGGTCCATGCAGATGGGTTCTCCCCGTCTGTGAATAATAAATGGGTCCAAGGGCAGAGAGTCACCATTTGGAATGATAAAATGTCTGCACACTATGAAAGAAGCTGACGGATTGTTGCCACGTGGAGAGAATACAGCAGAAAATGAGCAAACTTAATCTGCTTATCTCAGGGCAGAACTAATTATTTTTGTTGGTCCAATAAATTTGAATAGGAGTGAAAAAACCATTTGTAAACTATTATGCCAACAGACTTTTCCATATGGGGCCATCGACAGACAAATCAGGTAAGTGGGGTGCACTGATGTATATCTGCAGCCATCCAATGAGAACTGTCATTCAAACCAAGAGTCAGGAATCCACCTATTAATATCTACAAAATGCCCAGGCAGAAATTATTTTGCAGGAGTCATGGGCATCGCAGCACTGTACAGAAGTGGCAGTGTAGCCAAGGACGAATTATTAACTGGCCCAAGGATAAGAAAAAGAAAACTATTCTTTTTCTACAATTGATTAAGATGCTTCTGGAATTAAAAGAGAGTCAAGGAAATTGCCAAGAACCTGGATACAGAGAGCGGATTCAGGTGAGGGGCAATCACAGTCTGAACATGAGAATGACGACAATGAGTTGTTGTCCACTATCATCTAGAAGGTGACTCTAGGAAAGGAAAACGTTCTGGTGAGTTTCTATGTTAGTTGCCAAAGGGAAAGTCATGGCCACTTCAAAGGAAAGAAACGGTAGCAGAAAATAGCAAAGGCTGCTATATAGTTCCTCCTTTTCCAACCTTCTTATAGGGCTTAGACCCTAGAAAACAAGCCCGACTTTCCATTTCCTTCACTTGAACACAGAAAGTCGTCTTCAGTGAGAACATACTGGGTATACCAGTAACTCAGACCACACAGTGTGAAAGAAAGCTTGGTCAGCAGGCCTTTAAGCAGAAAGATAATCAGGAGGTAGACACTGATCACCGGACAAAAAGAAGACAACTGTCACTTGGCCCCTTGGGCTAAGGAAAGTTCAGTCCTAAATGGCAAGGGTACAACATTTCAGACATTTTCTTCTGTGGAGATGAAAGGCTCAACAATTAAAAGACTACTTTCATGTGCTGGGTGAGTGAGTGAAACAGGCCTAGAGTGCTCAGATCTGGGACAAATGTGTTCCATACAGGCAGTGAACGGAATGTTGGGCAGGAAGCTGGGGGACCTGCGGGTGGGTAACTTCCTCTTACACAAGTTAGCTTGTCTCTTGGTCATTCTAACATTCCAATCCTTTTTCTGGTTTTAAAAAAGTGGAGAATCATAGTAACTAGACTATCAACGATAAAACTTCACAATGTCCAGGCCCACTCACAGAAAAACAACAGACTTATACCCTTCTTCCTGGTAAAGTTTTGTATACAGACAAGAGAAATTAAGGTGCAGCGTCTTGAAGGGATCTCCTGTCCCCAAAATTTGCTCAAGAAAAATATTCTGTTCCCCTTCTTTCTCTAGGAATGATCTATGTAGGAGAACACAATACAGTATGTCCATTTGCAAAAGAAACATACTTCAAAGGTTTATGCTGAGAACCATACCAAAGTAACCCCTGTGAGACTCCAAGGGATGCTGGGAAGACAGGAGGGGAAAGGAGGCTGAAGTCTCTTTCATGGGCCAGAATGATTAAAAGCACAAAGGTCTTGCCCTATTACATGCTGGTAGGGCTACAATCACGGAGAGGTGCAAAATCAAAAGCACCAAATGAAGACAAAAGAATGTCCAAGGAGGAGAAGATGCGTAGGTCAATTCAGGCAGAATTCTGGGGCACAATTCCCAATAGGACTCTAGTGTAGAATCTTCTCATGGATATGGCAGAAGCCCACAGGGTTTAAAACGCAGTCCAAGCTGCAAGAATGTCTGGGCTTCAATAAGCATCCATCTTATTCTCCAAATAGAAGATAGTAAACATGGTCCCAAAGCTTGTATTCATCTTGCATTTCCATGAACTTGTCTTGATTATTAGATTAGAAGGAGCCATGCCCCCCAATAAGCCTTGCTGATATCCAGTGAAACTGATGAACTGCTTCTCCTGCATTACGTGAATGATAAGAGCATCTTCTCTTTCCTACCTCTAGAAGCTGGCTCCAGAGATTTCTTCATTTCTCTCCCGGATGACCTTCATTTGTTCCTCAGCAGCATTTACAAAAGGCAGTTATGTCTCTACACTGGAGGCAGCCTCTTTCACGCATAAACCTGCATGTTGTTGTGTGTTGGCTCAGACATGTGTGTCCCAGGTCCCCGCTGACCTCCTCCAGCACCCCCAGGGGTAGGGCTGGTGGTCACATCTGACCAGTCAGAAGCAGAGTGGGGTGATGAACTTGACCACTGGTCAGGAGACTCTGGGGATGGTGTCAGGTAGGGATGCTCACCCTGGAGGTGACCACTGTGACTGGGTGTTCGCTCAGCAGCATTTGAGGAAGCATAACTATGCTGTGAAGGGGGTGTGGGGTACTTGCCCACAGAGGCTGGGAAAGGATGATAGGCTGGAAGAATGGTCTGAGCTACCTGCCCATCCTGCTGGGGCATCATGGCAGTAGGGAAAGCCATACTGGGCAAACGGGCCATTTCTGGAATCTGGTACATGGTGGGCAGGGGACCCGCAACAGCTGGAGGGCAGGTGGACTGAGGCTGGGGAGCCCCCGCTGGCTGGGCAATACTGCCTTTAGGGATGAGCTGGAAAGTCACAATGGGGGGCAAGGGCTCCCGAGGGGTGGTTATGTGCTTCCCTTCAGGTGGCCTGCTCTGGGGAGCTATGCCAGGGTGGGCGCCCTCAGCTGGAGCCAGGACCATACCAAACATCTCATTGTACTGGGTCTCATTCACCTCCATGCGGTTCATCCAATCTGCTGGGACTGGGACTGGATGGAGCCTACCCAAGCTTCCAGCACTGCCACTGCCTGGGGGCACAATGTGGTGGTGGGACAGCAACTGGCTCACTGAGGGAAGCACAGTGCTGGCCCCATGAGCCAAAGGCTGCATTTCATGAAGGTTAGAAAAAGACAGTGCATGCTGGGCATGGACTGGGGCAGGAGGGGCGGCAGTAGCCAACATAGGGTTGGGTGAGGCCTGCAAGATCCCAGGGGATGTAATCATTGGAGAGGATGTGGTGTCAGACACATATGTGTGAGGTGATTCTAGGGAATCAACAGGGGACAGAGTTACAGAACTCTCAGACAGTTGGACCTTCTCGCTCACAGACTTCTTCCGCCTACTGCCCTTGGCATCCTTAGCCTCCTTGGCAAGGTTAGGGAGGCTAGTGGGCATGGTACTCTTGGCACTGGGCCGTCTAGACTTCTTGCCCATTGGGGTGTGCTTCAGGCTGAGGAAAGACCTGTTGGGCCCACAGATGACAGGTGAGAGAGCAGAAGTCAGCACGGTGCCCGGAGGGCTTGGGGTCACATTGTATTCATCCAGGAGGCGCACGATGTCATGGTGCATGCGATCCCGAGCCACATCGCGGGGGAGACGATCCATGTGGTCTGTGATGTCTCGATTCGCAAAATGGTCTAACAGGATCTTGGCTGCTTCATAGCTCCCCTCCCGGGCAGCAAGAAACAGAGGTGTCTCTTCCTACAGAAAAGGCCCATCACAGAACACGTTAATAACACTCTTGAGAATATAGCAAGTGTTTCTCATTTTTTCTTATTATCACCCCCTTAGGCATGTTTTCCTAACTATCTCCCCCATGAAATACTAATACCACAGATAGGCTGTGCCTCTATCAATGTGCTGAATGTATATCTGTGATTTATACATGAAAAGAGTACGATTATTTCACCTCTCCTCAAAAAACAATTTTGCCCCTTGGAGGGAATATCTCTTTAGTTGGGAATTCATAAAATAAAGCATGCCCCTGAGCTGGAGACTCACTTAAAACAGTTCTGAGCTTATCAAAATAAGGTTCTAATAGGAAAAGGAGTTAGAAATAAGAAAGAAAGGAAGAGAAGAAACTAAAGCATGCACAGAACTTGGAAAAATAAGGGAAAGAGTAAAAGAAAGAAGAGACAAAACATGTGCAAGAAAGGACTAAGATAAGAAAACTGAGAGAAGATGAACAAGAGAAGGAAGCAGGACAAAAAACTCAGGGAGAAAACCAAACAGGAAAACATCAGGGTATCCAAGGACAGGAAAAAAAAAAGTGGGATGAGAAAAAGAAAGAAAACAAGAGAAAAAGAAGTATGAACAGAAGAGACAACTGGAAAAAGGAAATGTCAGGGAAGAGGAAAGGTGTGCCAAGCTATCCACAGCCAGCCTACTGTCAGCTGAGTACTGAGAGGGCAGAGAACTCAGTCCAGACACATGCCCAGACAAGCCCAGTGTCCTCATCACGCTCTCCAAACCCAGTGTCTGCCCAAACTGCTTCCATCTTTATGTATATCATAAGAGAAGCTGTAAATAGAAACAGGAAGGGGCTTATAACTGAGGCAGGGCTACGAGCCTCCTCGAGCTCAGAGCCCACAGATTGTACCTTGTTGTCCTGCATGTCTCGGTTGGCCCCATTTTTCAACAGCAAAAGAGTCGCCTCCACATTATTGACAGCAGCTGCCCAGTGAAGAGCAGATTTTCCTACAGGGAAGAAACATTTTTATAAGCAGACATTTCCTACTCCTAGTATAAAGCACCATGACTTGTACAATGAAACCTTAAACTCCCCAGAGATCAGCAGGAAGCAGTTCTCCATAGGAGTCTATAGGAAAAACCAAAGTCATCTCTTCCTTTTCCTCTGTTCTAAAAATACTTCAGTACAGGTTGCCTATCCTGCAGAAGACCTCTAGGTGAAAGGATCACTTGTATGAGGTATTCATGCCTACTACATGGCAGAATCCACCCTGTTACATACTGAAGACAAAAACCTATATATTACATGTCAGAATTTACATTAAGAATATCCCACAACTCTCCTAGAGAAGTCAGCTCTCATAAATCTTCAAATCAAGAATGGTATACCTAGGAAACTACACGGGCAAACCTTTCATGTATCTGCTTTGAGGTCCAAGAACCCTCATTAAAAATCCCTCATTTTAATTGGAGATCTCCTACTGGCTTGGATCTCTGAGCTCAACATGTTGAAGGAAGAATGAATAGATGCATGAATGAACGAATGAGTGAATCTCCAATGTACTTAGATCTGAGACAGTTGTTTAAGGGTCATGTAACCATTCCCCTCCTCAGAAGCATGCTTTGCAGGTAAGAATCCGAATCCCTGCCTCTCATTCCTACCATGGTCATCCACTGCATTCACATCTGCTTGGCAGTTGATCAGTTCTGCCACCATTCCCTCCACAGCCAGGCGGGCAGCCAGGATCAGGGGTGTAGTACCATCATTCATCCTGGCATCTAGATCAGTTACTCGGTTGCGAATCAGAATCTAGAAGAGGAGAAAGTACAGAGAAGAGAGTTACCTAGATGAAGGAAAACGATGAAACTCAGAGAAGAAACAAGGGCATCAGAGCTAAGGCTATACTGCAGGTTCCTGGAGAGGAGGGAAAATCTTGTTATCTTTGTGCCCAAGAGTCTATCATGATCAATCAACAAATATTTGTTGCATGAATAAATAAATAAACAAACAGGTGCTCAATAAATAAGGTCAAAGGATGAGGCTTCTACTTTCTCAGGAAAGAAGAGGGATGCGGGGAAGTATCACTTCAATCACAGTGTGCAGCCTAAGGTGATTCAGAATGCTTCCGACTTCCTCATAAGGATAAAATAAACAGGAATCAGGGAATATAATATGAACTCATGTCAAGAAAACTGCCACTGAGCAGCCAGAAGCCCAGTCAGGCAAATCCATAAGAAGTAGCTGATACCAGGCAAAGGCTCCTGACCAGGTTTCACTCTCATCTAATCTATGCATTTGGGAGGCATCTTGGCACAACAAATTATCACTGACTAATAATCAGAAGACTGGTGTTATCTGCAGTTGGCTCTATCACTATCTGCCTATATATAGCTAGGCCAGTTTGTCTGCCTCTCTTTTCCTGCTTTCCCATCTAGCAAGCATGACTTTAATACCTGCCCCAGTGTCTCAAATGATTGAATAAATTCAACTAGATATTAGTTCCTTAAAAAAGATAAAACATTATAGAGCCAAAGGAATTCTTATTATTCAAGTGACTCTTCTCATGTTCTTTACCTGGAAGACACCTTGGGCATCAGCTGCCACTGCAGCATGTAGGGGGCAGCGGCCCATGTTGTCCTGGGCATTGGCATCTGCACCTGCATCAAGGAGACGCTTGGCGGCATCAGCCCGTGAGTAGCGGGCTGCAAGGTGCAGGGCCATCTCACCAGTCCGGTCTGTCTGGGCCTGAAGGCTGGCACCCTGGTACACCAAGTCTGTGATGATGTTAGCAGAAGAGTCCTCTGCATCTTCATCTTCATCACTCAAATCTGAGCTGCCTCCTCGGAGAGAAGCCAACATCAACGGGGTGCAGCCATCTGTAGGAATCGAAAATTCCAGGAAGTACTCAAGAAGGAGAAGGAAGTTAACCCTATTGTTGAAACAGTTCTATCTGAATAAAGTTATCCTTATGGGCAAAGAATTTCCTGTATTTCTTGTAGTAACTAGTTATTAGTTTCACATTTTCCACCTTTTCCTCTGATAATGTCATTTCTGTAAAGAGTAATGGGAAAGTATGAGTCTTTTTAAGCAGGGGCTCTTCTCTAAGTTAAACAAGTTTTTCTGTTCAAGTTTAAGTGCTATTATTTTAACTCGAAATTTAAAAATATATAATATTAATAGAACAATTAATATATGCCTAAGATATTAACTCTCTATCCTCTGCTTTGGGATATTATTTTTCTATCCTACTACAATCTAACCCATTTTATCTTCCTGTTTAGTCTCCACACATTGTACATAAAGCAATGTGAAATCCTTCCCTTATTGAGTTCATAATTTCTTCACGTGGCTACATTCCTTAAACATTCATTTCCTCAAGCCGATTAAGAGTCTGTGAAATTGGAAAGGGGTATATGGCTGGACAGGGCAAAAACAGGGACAACAATGTAGAACCATGGGCAGACATAGCACAGTGAAGAGGGGAAGGCTTCCTGGTGCTGACCTGGGCCCCGGACATTCACGTCCAACACATCCACCTCCTGCTCTGCCTGAGGTGGGGTGAGGGCCAGTGATGGTGTCCTACGGATGTCTGCGGCTTCAAGGTGCTGCTGTGTCCATGGCCGTCGATCGATAGGGTCGTCTTCTTCCGAGAGCAAGGCCTCATCTTCAGCCTGAAAGGTGAAAACAAGGTGCTGCTGTGTCCATAGCCGTCGATCGATGGGGTCATCTTCTTCCGAAAGCAAGGCCACATCTTCAGCTCCCTATCAATCGGGCCACCACCAGAAACTGCTGAGGAGAACCTGTCCAGAGCCTCTGCCACACTTCCTCACCTCCTATTGTTTTCTCTCTTCCTACTCCTCCAACCCTCCAGAGGATTACCCTGGCCTTGGCTTCCCACTGCTCTCGTGCTGTGGCTCCCGCTTACCTCGCCTGCGTCAGCTAGACAATTCCCCCACCACATCCCAAACTCAGGCTTTAGATCTCCAGAGCACACAATTCTCACTTTTACCTACCCTCCACTAGAAGGTAAAGTTTAATTCTTCTTGTTGGCCCTAAAAAGCATACTCTGCTTAACTGGTCATGTGTTAAGTGCTTACATAGCACTATGTGGCCACCTCTACCATGAGGCTATATGCGTCTCGAGAAGAGAAGATAAGCTTTGTTCAAGGTTGCTTCCTTGTACTCAACACAGCACCCAACATGTAGTAAGCACTCAGGAAACACGATTCGATAATAATAACTACGATAATTTAAAAGCTGCGGAAAGTAGATAAGGCACATGTGCCAACACAACAACTCATGGAGGAAAGAGTTATTATTACCCGCATTTTACAGGTAAGGATAATTGCAAAGAGGTTAAGTAACTTGCCAGCTACTACGTGGCAGAGTTTTGGACTTGAATCCAGTTCTGTTACTAACTAAAGCAATTTTCTTAACCATCATACTCTTGCCATGCATAGCTGTGGATGGAGGGTCTCCTTTTTCACGTTAGTCTCAGCCCAGTGTACCCCTTGTTTTTATAAGGTTTTAGTTTCCTGGGCTCAAGGTATGGAGCCTCCAATGTCAGTGATCACCGGCTTTCTTCCGCTGCTTCATTTCATCTTCTCTTATAGAAGGAGAAGTGCCCATAAAGGGTGAGGGAGAGAAGTGGCCATGAAGCAACTGCCATCTACACATCCCAGTCCTGACTTGACTACTTGCCAGCATGACACTAAGGGAAGGGGACATGTTTGTTTTAATATTTTTAAAGAGTTATTCTTGAAGAGCATACATAGGTAACCCAAGGTCATCAATGATCTAAGGATTCCTGCTGTTTAGGAGAACCTAGGATAGTTATTGTCTGGGTAACATATAAAGACTATCACTCTTTCCTCCGTTTCAGGACACTCTAGAGCTAAAGGACAAAAATCTGAAATGTAACCAGATAATGGCTGACAACGCTGGTTCTACCACGGACACCTCACCTTCACTTTCTTTGGCTGGGGCCCTTCATCATCAACCCAGTGTTCACTTGTTCCAGAGCCAATTAGGTTAGCTTCTGAGACTTGCACCGAAAGATTTCTAATACGATTATAAAAAGGAAAAATAAGAATGGCGGTTATGTCATAAACTAACACAGTGGTTTTCAACACTTTCCACCACGACACACTCCCATGGCTATAATACAATTTTACGGGGTCTTGGCCAAGAGAAGATGGGCATCTTGTGACATCCCCTCGGCATTCATCCTTTCCCTTACCACTGAGCGAGAGCTCAAAACAAAAGTGTACCTCAACACAGAAGCTGGGCAGCACTGTGATAATATGCACAGATCAGATGCACCCAGGCTCTGACTGTGGTTTCAGTCACACATAAGGCATTTAGAATCATAGTCTGCGAGTAAACGTCCAGAGCTTAGATTTAAAATCATAATTCAACAAGATACACTTTTCTAGTCATATATATAAATAGTCTATCCCTATTTATATTGTGAATAGTGGCTTGCTGGCAATGCCTCTTACTTAAGCCCCACAGCATCCTGTCCCACTGGCTCACGACGCTTGTGATTGCTTGCATCTCGGCGAAGAGTGAAACCTTCAGGCAGCCAGAGAGAGCCATGCTTACGCTTTCGTTTTGCCATGATAACCCCCAGCAGAATAATAAACAGAATGATGACAACAGCAACAGCAAGTAGATAGAGCAGCTGAGTGCGTTCTGGAGTCGGGGATTCACCTGAAAGTCCACAGAGACAGGGAAAGTGCTGAATAAAACATCAACCTCTCCATGTCAGCATTAGATTCATTTACAGGACAACTTTGACCTCACCAGTCCTGAAAAAAGAGGACTGCGTAATGAAAACTATGCCCCCAATTGACACTGTCCCCCCGCCACCTTTCCCCTCAACACCAGTGCCACTCACTGATGACAGACACGAGAGGGTATGATAGGGTCCCCCGTATGGCGTGAGAGGCTAGGAGAGCTGCTGCTGCATCTGTATTCTTGAAGCAGTGGTCTGAGTCTTGAACACACTGGCGGTTGTCAATTTCTAGAAAGACTTTAGAGCTGTCGGATGCCAAGGGAGAAGTGGAGAAGGAAAACAGAAGAGTGCAGGTCAGGCACAATGTGTCATGAAGGGTGATGGGAGCCTTCCTTCCTCCCCTTCAGCATCAGGTCCCCACCTCTGGGATGCTGCCTTAAGACATAACTCAGAAATTAAGATACTGTCCCTTGAGATCTTAACACTAATTCCCACAGAGAATGTCCCGCCTTCCTTAGTCTGGCTGACTGAAGCCTTCCGGCTGAGGCAATGCATGACAAAGTGAGAAGCTGGTCGCCAGTGCTTTCCTCCTGAAGGTTTCAGTGGTTGTCTTCTACTCTTTCCTACCTACTCAGTGGTACTTAGTGCTACTTTAGAAACACATCCCTGTGCACTTTTAGTCCTTATTTTCCTTTGTCTCTGCATTGTTATCTCAGCTAGCTGGAGGGTTGAAAGTTTGAGAATATACCAACAAAGAGTGAGGTGTGAATGACAGAGCAACTGAAGATCATTACCCGTGTCAAAGAGACATATACTCTAAAGAAGAGCCTTGACAGTAAGTCAATGATTAATGCAAAAAGGAACATCTGATAAAGGGATTTGAGGCAAGTCTGGCAAAAGGTTATAAATTCTGGCACCTGAGGAGGCCTTCCAGACATCTTGCTCCTGTGTACCCCAGCCCACTTTTCGGGACCCCAAGATCAAGGCACGTCTTTAGACTTAAACATAAGTACTGGAGTAATGGCTTTATCTTAGTGGTGGGCCACTCTATTTGTCTGATCTTTGCATTTCTATAGGTTGAGTTATGACTTGTGCTATATATCAAAGTTCTTGGCTTCATAAAATTAGCCTTGAAGTTCAGAAACCAAATACCTACCCAGCCACCTCCTGTTCTTGTTCACCAGGAAGGGACCTACGTGTCATCCTCTGTTTCTTCATGGCAGCTGACTTCTCACCATAATAGGGGTACACCATAGGTTCCCCCTTGGAGTCCCGCTTAATGCGCAGGTTGGTGTGAAGCAGGGTGCCCAGTGCCCGCAAGAAACTGCGAACATCCTGGAGCAGTTGTTCAGGTGGCAACAACACCACAATAACGAGGGTACCCTCTGCCAGGTTCTCGGGCTGGTCAGCAGCACAATCCAGCCCATCCCAGCCACACTCCTCACTGTTGCAGCCCTGGTCACAGTGGTTGTCTTTGAAGTGGTCTGCACAGTATTTGTCATACCTAGGTCAGGAGAAGCAGAGAACAGACAAAAGGGCTCAGATTAGACTGGAGCTCTGTTTGGTTTAACATTTGGAACTACTGTGGATTTTCCTACCCATTTTCCTGTGGCTCCTATTAGGACCCAAATGCCCCACGAAACCTTCTTTGCATCTCCTATCCCTGACGTCATAGAGTACATACAGTATACGCCACTTATCCTTGTTGAGTACTTCCTAAATGAAGAACAACACTGTACTAACTATGCTGCAGGAGCTTAGGGGCTCCCAGGCAGCTTACAATCCTGTTAAGTCAGGTTTTCAAACAAAGCTGCATATATGAACAAAAGTCAACCTGGTTCATGCTTTCTCTACTTTGTATCCACTGCCCCCAGTAAGGTAACAATGGGCTTTAGGAAGTGAAAAATGCCTCTAGAAACTTGATAAATGGACCTGAACCATTGAGAGTTGCCATACGGAGAACCATATTAACATGATCCATTTCTTTCCCTTTCAAGAGTGAATCCCAACTATAGAAGGTAAAAGCGAGTGGTTATGTCCTTATAGGACACCATATCTTACTTGTACAGTCTCTTTCAATATTTGCAAAAGGAATTAGAACCTAAAAGATTTGATGTACAAACTATTTCATCTATACTCTCCTCTCCTCATCCCCTCCCCTTGATATTTGTATGTACAACTTTTCATGCCAGCTCAATCAAAAGATTAGGAGTCAATAAAATAACTTGCTTTGGCAAGTTCTTTAACCCTTGGGCCTAAGTTCTCTCACCTATGAAAGAATGTTAGTAATACCAATGCCTCACGGGCTGTCGAGAGTTAATTGGGATTAAATTCGATGGAATGGCTAGTTAATAGGAAAGTTCCTACCTAAACCATACAGCCTCCTGTAACTGTAACAATGAAGACTAGGAGGGGTCACAGTCCTAATCTAATTCATGCTTCCAGATAAATCTGGGTGGGGAAAAACAGTCTTAGGGAAAGAAATGGGGTGAAGAGAGAGATACAGACCTTTCCATCCATCCTGCAGGCAGGTTATGTGAGAGGCTGCCTGAAGTGGGAAACACCACTTCCAAAAGTTATATTCCCCAGGAGGTCACGAAGGCAGCAGGTGAGAAGGCAGAGATAGGCAGAGAAAGAGGGTCATTATGCAATGAGCATTCCTGGCCCTTTGTCAGCAAGGGAGAGCACAGGGTAGTGTGCGATGGGACAAGGCTGGCACCATCTGAAAAGCAGAGGCAGCTTAGGCTGAAGCACTGGAGTGGTTAGGAGCAAGAACCAGAAACTGAAGTGTGTTAGTGACAGTCCCCTTCAGCTTCTGGAGAACATGAAGCCCTTACTTGCATGTCTTGCTGTTCCCCTGGCATTCAAAGTTGTCAAACAGGCACTCGGCTGTGTTGCACAGCTCATCACACTGGTTGTTGATATAATCCCAGCAGGGAAGCGGGGAGGAGCAGTTGGCCCAGGGGTTCTCCATGGTGAGAGAACAGTCACCGCCATCCCACTGGCAGGCGTGGCTGTTGCAGGCCTCATCACAGACGCCATCCCGAGCTTTATCCGCACAATATTGGCTCTGACAGGTGGCAGGAGGGGTGCTGGGGGGCACCGTGTAGAGTTCACAGAGGCTGCCCCAGAATGGTGGGGTGCACTGGCAGGAGTAAAAAGGAGGCTGGCGCTGAGGGTGGCAGCTGCCCCCGTGCTGGCAGGGACTACTGGCACAGCCTGACTCACAGTCCCGGGGGTTGGGGCAGAAGCAGCGGGGTCCAGAGGCGGTGTGTACACACTGCTCCCCTTTCTTACATTTCACTTGTCCACAGCTGCTCTGGCATCTTGCCCCGGAAAAGCCCTGTGGAAATCAGTGAGGAAATAAGGATGGCATTGGTAGGGAAATAGTCACACTGGAAGTTTCGGGTTTCTAGAAAACCTCCACATCTCACTCCCTTCTGTACTTCCTGCTCAGCCCAAGCCAAGGTTACTAGACAGGTTTCCTTTTTGTATCTCCCCAGGCATAGGGATCTCTTGTTTTGGGGAGTTTTCAGCCTCTGGCAATGGTAAAAGACTGGGTATAGCAAATAGCTAAAATTAAGCTTCCCTTTAGTTTAAGAGACAACTTGCTTCCAAATGGTTCCCGCTAAAGAATGTCAACAGAGCAGCATTTCCACCACTTTGTGTGGTTTTCCCTTAGTTTTTCTAAAGACTGACAGTCATGGACTGGGAAGCTCACGTTTCAGGAAGTGTCTAAACGGTTCTTTTTATTTAATTTGGTTGTTTTTTGTTTTGTTTTGTTGCTTATAAACAGCTTTAAATGGAAAAACCCAAACACTTTCTTCTGAAAGAGTTAAAATTGAGAAATCTCATTTCGAAGCTTGATAAAACCAGGTTTGATCTCAGTTTTGTCACAGATATTGTATGGAAGAGAAAATGCCCCTTATGAGCAACAGGGCACTTACCGGGGGACAACGGCAAATGAAACCATCAGGCATGTTGCTGGCCACAGCACAAGTCCCTCCATTCAGGCAGGGCATCTGGGGACACACATCGATGAAGGTTTCACAGTGCCGGCCTCAGAGAATAAAAAGGGGTTTTAAAAGGCAGAAGTAGTCATTGCAAGTTACTGACCAAGCTTTGCTGGGATAGGAACTACCCATAGGTGGGGCGAGGGTGTGAAAGTTCAGTTCTACGCCTGTGGTAATCTGAGCAAAGGAAGGAAATACTCACAGGATCTCCACATGACCGGCCCATCACTGGCTCAGGCCAGTCCTTTACTCTGTCTTGCCTACACAGTAAGCACCAACTCACACAAACAGGATGGGTGAGAAAAGTGACTTAAATCCCCTCAAAAAACTAGAAATCACGCTTCAGCTTTTTGAAGTGACTTTAGATTTCATAAGTTTCAGGAAACAGTTAAAAAACCATTCACCACATTTTGTTATGTCATCTCCTACTTCGTAGGAGAGGCTACACCAGGCCAATACCAGGCCCATATATTTAAATGGTGATTTGCGGTACAGAGAATTTTCATCTGTGATATACCTCATTCCAATCACTTTGTGGCCTTTCTGTAACCTAACTGGTTTTCCCTAAAACGCAGCTTAATTTTCCTGAAGTTAACTTCCTCTAGGAATAGTTCTAAAACAGGAGGCCCCTGGGGGCCACTGCTCCAAGATAAAGCATGAGGCAACTGGAACCATGGAGGAGACGAGGGCACTGCACGGCTGGGACTCGTGGCCAACAGCAGGAGATAGGCCCCACCTGGCCTGCGGTCACTTAGGAAAGAAAAGGTATCTTTAAAAATGAAGAAAAAAGTGTAATGCTTTTGGCCCACCAGATCAAGTAGCAAGAGGTATAAATGTTTGTCTCTTTAAATCACAGCAGCAGCTGCTAACCAAGAGCAGCCACCACATGGACACAGCTTGGTGGACCACCAGTCCCTTGCTGCTTATCTCTGCCACAGCTTCCCACAAAAATTGTGCTCAATGTGTTCCAAGGGATTTTTTTTTTCATTCACAAACGTGCACTAGCACAACTTCCTGGCTATGGGATACTAATTCAAAACAGTCTCCATTCCTTCCTTCTCCTGCTTCCCTCTTACTTTGCAAATGTTTGTCAGTGTTCCCAGAGAAAAAAGCCTCAGAGCCAACCAACCAAACAGGAGCCAGTTTTGCTTCTTTGGCTTTCCAAGTGCAGTTTGGCCAATACGAGGCTGTGGACAGATTGTTCATACTCATTCTGTCCCATATTGCCTCAATAGTTATGAAGTTCATAATGGATTATTTCTCTTTTGATGTTAGTGTATCTAGGGAACTTCCATACTGCAGAATCCCTCTCACTCTTCATAAAATTCCAAGATTGTAAGGCAACATATCTTTAAAGCTGGAAGGAAAGATGGCTGGAGATGGGCTCAGGATATACCAGGTTCAGCTTGATGAATTGTTTGTAAATAGACAATTACAGCCTATTTTCTGACTCCCAAGGAACCTGATCACACACTCCCTATAAGAAATACAACTAGAGACCCCAGGAAATGCATGATAAATTTCAAATCTGAGTATCCTGCCACATCTGGATACAAATAACTATTTTAGTTTCCAAAAGTCCCCATGCTGTGCCCTCCAGAAGTAACTAGTAAGTTCCTGTGGTAAGACCCTTATTCTGAGGCAGGGTTAGGTCATCTTCATGCCTTGTGATGAAAGAAAGCAGCTTGAGGACAGACTAGGAACATGATCAAGCCTTCACTGGGCAGGGCGTTACCTGTGACCACTGCAACTTTTCATTTCATACCCACATCAACTGATCTTTGCTTAAACACATTTGAATTTGGACCTGCTCCCTTTAAGTATCTAAGCAGGGTCCTAAGCTTCCCTGAAAAGATCATGGCGTGGAAAGATCATGGTGTCAGGAACTACCCAGTGATTCAAGCTATTATATGTCAAAGGAGGCAGGATGAAGACACCAGCGTTAGACATAAGGTTCCTTAAAACAAAATGTCATTTTCTTCAGATGTAGAGAGTTCTGTGAATGAATGGTGGTGATGGTAGAACAGCAATGCCAATGTACTAAATGCCACTAAACTGTATATTTTAAAATAATTCAGATGGTAAATTTTAGGTCTTGGATGTTTTGCCACAATTAAAAAATGTTATATTGTTCACTACTTTCAATATACATTTTTAAAAGTATTCCTGCATTATATAATCAATGCACAACAAAAGAATCCCTAAGGAAAAATTAAAGGTAGACACTGATTATAACCTCTATGAAGTACAGAGTAGGAAAAAACTGGCTTTTAAAAATTAAGCTGCTGTTGGTTTTCTTATATAAGAAAAGCTTCACTCGGGTCTGGGACAAGTCACAGGGCCCAATTTGCTCACTAAAACCATCTGCCAAGGCAGAGTGGTCAGGAGGCTAGAGAGCTTCTCACCAGTGAAGGCACTACGACAAACACACAGGTAGTCATTGGTGAGCTGGATACAGTCCAGGCTGCCCTCAGAGCTGCAGGGGTTGGAAAGGCACTCGTTGATGTCTCCCTCACAACGTTCCCCAGCAAAGCCAGGCAAGCAGCGACAACTGTAGCCTCCGATCCTATCCACACACTGGCCACCATTAAGGCAGTGGGGACCCCCGGCACAGTCGTCAATGTTCTCTTCACAGAGTAGGCCTGGAGGAAAGAGAAGAGGTACAGAATTACGAAAAGCCTTTGAACCTGCTTTCCAGCAAGGGATAATCACCCCTGCTGACATTTTCACAATGAATCAGAGTATACTCCTCAATCGGTAGCGGGACCTTGCAGTTGGGCAGGGCAAAGCACAATCTTTATTCGTGACAGCCATCATCCTTCTGGTGAGTTGTACAAGTAAGGGAAAGAACATACTAGGGCTCTACATGTACTCTCCCACACGACCCAGTGAAGTAGCACCCAATGGTGTAGGTCCTATTATTTGTCCCATCTCAAAGACAAGGAAACTGGAGCTCAAGAGAAACTCAGTAATTTTCCCAAAGTATAATCCAAAATATAAAAATAGTTCCAAAAAAGAACATAACAAATGCAGTCATGCAACCGCATAATGACATTTTAGTCAATGCGGGCAGCGTATACAACAGAGGTCCCATAATGAAGCTGAGGCTGATAAATTCCTGTTGCCTAGTAACATCACAGCCTTGTAATGTCACAGCACAATTACTTTTTAAGTAAATTCAGTGCAGCTTAGGTGTACAGTATTTACAAAGTCTACAGTAGTGTACAGTAATGTCCTAGGCCTTCACATTCATGTACCACTCACTGACTTAACCAGAGACAGTTCCAGTCCTGCAAGCTCCTTTCATGGTAAATGCCCTATACAGGTGTACTATTTTTTATCTTTTATATTGTATTTTTACTGTATCTTTAAAAATTTTCTACTGTACCTCTTCTTAAATATGTTCAGATACATAAGGACTTACCATTGTGTTATAATTGCCTACAGTATTCAATTCAGTAAAACAAGGTGAAGGTTTGGAGCCTAGGTTAGGAAGCCATACTCTCTAGGTTTGTATAATTACACTCTATGATGATTACATGACAATGAAATTGCCTAAGGACATATTTCTCAGAATATATCCCCACTGTTAAGTGACCCATGACTATACATAGATTATATAAAAATGCTGGTAAGAGTTGGAGTTGAATTTTGAATGCTATACATTTCTAAGTTTTATAATCACTGGCTTTTTTCTGTAATAGTGTGTAAGTGCACTATTTCCTGCTGAGAGTTCAAAAGTTATTCCATTTAAAATAGGACTCATTTAATGTACTATAGATGTAAATGAGCCATCTAGTATGAGTATCTGCATATGGTGTCTTAGAAAGAGACAAAATAAATCAATACCTGTTCTAGAAATTATTCTATGATTAATTCAAAAAGGTACAAAGAGGTAGGGTACAGTGGTTCACACCTGTAATCCCAGCACTTTGGGAGGCTGAGGTGGGTATATTACTTGAGGTCAGGAGTTCGAGACTTGGTCTGGCCAACATGATGAAACCCTGTCTCTACTAAAAATACAAAAATTATCTGGGTGTGGTGGTGCATGCCTGTAATCCCAGCTATTTGGGAGGCTGAGGCAGGAGAATCACATGAAGCCAGGAGATGAAGGCTACAGTGAGCCAAGGTTGCGCCACTGCACTCCAGCCTAGGTGCCAGAGAGAAACTCTGTCTCAAAAATTTTTTTTAAAAAAAGTACAAAAGAAAACAGTTCTGTATTCCTAACACTTGCATTGTAACATACACTAACAAACACAAGATTTTTTTTTAAATGTAAAATAAGGCCCAATTTTCAATAGCAATTACCAAATTACCAAAGATAAAATACCTAGGAATAATCTTAACAAGAAATGTGTTAAACCTATATGAAGACAACATTAATACTATCCTAACAGACACAAAAGAGACTTGAATAAGTGGATTTAGTTAGGAAGACTCCTCATCATAAAGTTGTCAGTTTTCTCTATACTGATTCATAAATTTAATGAGACCCTGATAAAAATTACCAATAGGAATTTATTAACAGACAAGCTGATTATAAAATTATGTGAAAAAAAACTGTAATCATAACCAGGAAAACTATGAAGAAGATCCGTAATAACCGAAACAGAATGTTATTGGTGAATTAACAGAATAAAAGAGCAAAAAAGAAGTCCAGAAGAACACCAAAAATACACACGGGAATTTAAAATTTGGCAAGGGTGCCATCTCAAATCATTACATAAAAAACAAAATATTCAGGGCAGGCGCAGTGGCTCACGTCTGTAATCCCAGCACTTTGGGAGGCTGAGGCAAGTGGATCATGAGGTCAGGAATTCAAGACCGGCCTGGCCAAGATGGTGAAACCCTGTCTCTACTAAAAAGTACAAAAATTAGTTGAGCATGGTGGCAGGCACCTGTAGTCCTAGCTACTCGGGAGGCTGAGGCCGGAGAATTGCTTGAACCTGGGCGGCTGAGGTTATAGTGAGCCAAGATTGTGCCACTGCACTCCAGTCTGGCCGATAGAGACTCCATTTAAAAAAAAAAAAATTCAATAAATGTGTATTAACAAATGAGTAGCCACATCAAAAAAGTACTGGAGGAAAACAGAATTTCCTTACAACCTTCAAGTGTATAATACGTTGTTGACTACAACTCAAAATCCAGAAGCCATTTTAAAAATAATAAATTCAACTTGATTAAAAAACTAAAAGTGTGCACTAAAAATCACTATAAAGAAAATCACAAGATAAAAACAATATAGTGGGAAAATATTTGTATTTTATATCATTGACAGCCAATTTCCAAAAAACATTATATCAACAACTTAATGGGGAAAAAAAAGATGTACATGAACAGAGAAACTGCAGCAAAAGGAAAATAAAATGATTCTTAAGTGAAAAGATATTTTTCCACCTTAAGAAGCCAGTGTGCTGATACATTGCAATTACTGATTAAAATTATAAATGCATATATTATCCAATCCAGCAATTCTATTTCTGAAAATTTATTTTACCAATACACGTATATGTCTGCAAGATAACTGAAATATCTATCGTGATGGCACTGGTTAAGCAAAATATGGCATGTCTGTACAGGGAATTCTGTAGCTATAAAAAGTATTGAGGAAGTTCTATATTTTGTTATGAAAATATCTCCAATTAAATTTAAAAAATCAAGTGCAAAAAATGTCTAATATTCTATCTTCAGAGTAAAAAGTAAAGGAAATAAAACATCTTTGTATTTGGCTTCTCTCTATATAAAGAAATTCTGAAGGGTACATTTTTTAAAAAACTCTAGAAAGATACAAAAACAGCTAAAAGTGGTGATTACATGTTTGTGGGAGAGGGAAAATTTGTGCTGAGGAAAAGAGATGGGAATAAGAAGTATTTTCACTGTATACTTTTCTATGTATAAATACATTTTTTTGTTTATATGTATATATGCATATCTTACCTTATACATAGAGTAAATTGAAAACAAAAAAGTAAAAACAAACCGAATCCTGTATATGCTCCCTGTCTCAAACAATATTTGATATTTAGGGACTGCTAGTAAAATGAGCATAAATATATATTTCCCCATCAGAATGGAACCACCAGTAACAAATAGGCCTATCAAGTGAGAGAGAACTCAACCTCAGGCTGAAGCAAAGTAGTAGAAGAGGCAGAATTGTTACAGTTAGCCCTTGACCTGGGGAACTGGAGGGACACCTAGGCAAAGATCCAAGGCTTATGAATATGGTGACCAAAACACACACTGTGATAACTCTCATAATAAGGTTACAAGACTTTAGAGTTTCCCGAAATGTTTACCAATGGCCAGAGAAATTAAGTCAGGATAAAAAAAATACTGTTTTACATACGTAAACCAGCACACATAGTAAAATAATCCAAGGAATTCTATGTGGGACAAACTCAAAGAAATTCATACCTACACATCACAATCAAACTGTTAAAGAAAGAATCTTGAAGGCATCAAGAGAAAAGCAATGTATCACATATAAGGGAGCCTCAATAGGATTAACACATGATTTCTCACTAAAATCCATGGCTATCAGAAAGCAATGGGATGACATACTCAAAGTGCTGAAAGAAAAACACTGTCAATGATAATATCGAAACGAGTATTCTAAGCTATCTTCAACACGTGGTTAGAAGCGACAAAAATTGTTTCCTTCTGAAATGATCCATTCTGAGACTGGACATGTCTAATCAATAAAAAGTTCATGGTATAGCAATGATTTTAGAGTTTGATGAATACCCATGTACTCTTCCATTTTTCCTAGCCTCCCTTGAAGTCAGGGAGACCATTTAATAATTCTGGTCAATATACTGTGAGGGACAGGGATGTGTGTTGCTTCCAGACTGAGATAGTGAAAGCTGCTGTATGACCCTTTTAAACCACAAACCTAAAACACAGAGAAAGGTAGCTCAATACATATTCAACTTTACTTGAGTGACAAAGTCATTGTTATATTAAGCTCTGAGATTTGAGGTTTAATTAGCTTCTATATCTTGGAGTTTGACTCCACTGAAGCACATGCTAAAATCTGATCTCCAATGTTGGAGGTGGGGCCTAATGGGACCTGTTTGCATCCTTGAGACAATGAGAGCATTCTCACTCTGTTAGTTCCCATGAGAGCTGGTTGTTAAAAAGAGCCTGGGATCTCCTCCCCTCTCACTTGCTTCATCTCTTGCCATGTGATCTCTGCACACACTGGCTCCTCTTCACTTTTCACCACGAGTGGAAACAGCCTGAAGCTCACTCCAGAGGTAGATGCTGGCACCATGCTTCCTGTACAGCTAAATATACCTCTTTTGAAAAACAAATTACTTGGTCTCATGTATTCTTTTATAGCAACAGAAATGAACTATGATAACAGCGATCACCAGAACTGGAGCTTGTTGTAACCAGTATAATTGTTCAAAGGAACAAATTAGTAATGATTTGGAATGAATTTTTACTCAACCATTGATTTCTAGAATAAAGAACAATTCTCCTTTTAGCATGACAATTCTTCAAATACTTAAAGACTGTTTCTCCTTCGTTTTCTTCTTCCCATTAACCTCATTCCTCAATAACCAGTCTACTAGTAGTGTACTCTCCTATTTTAATTTAATCAAACTCTGATATCTGGGAAGGCACATGAGCCAAATTTATTGACACAAAGCTCTAAGGCAATACAAATACTTATACTTTTCTGGCATTCTATTCTCTTTGACACTAACAAGAATGAATTTCTCACCAGTGTGGATAGCCTTTTACATTTTCACAGGTTTCTCAGAGTAGGCCCCAGCACAACTAGATCCCTTCTGACAAACAATACTCTAATCTCTTTCCAAGGGATGGTTCAAAAGCAGTGTCAATGTTCACAGCAGAATGATGGCCCTACCACTTAGTTCAAAAGCAGTGGTAATGCCCACAGCAAATGATGGCCCCATCACTCACAGTCTAGGGTTGCATCTCTCATCAGGCCTTACTGCAATTCCTAAAGCAGAATCTTATGCCATCAGTATCCTCACCTGAGGTTATGAAAATAATAGCAGATATTTTCATTTCATTCATTCCCCCACCTTATAGAGTCAAGAATTGGCTAATTTAAAAAATACAAAAGCAGGTAAATGTAAATTGTTTATTTTAGAGGCCATTAGTTGCTTTTCCTTGAAGCAACAAGAAATCTTACTGACCAGGCTAATTTTGTTATAATGTTCTATCAGTTCCTTTTTCTGTGTTTCGTGGAATATAAGATGCCAAACAACAAGATGAAACCTTGAACATAAATCACAACATCAGAGCTAGCAGGAGATGAAATAATAAAATGGCTTGAATTACTAGGATGCAGAACTAAAAGCTTGGAATGAAGCTAGTCTTAATATCTTTAATTTTATAAAATCCCCTGACTACTAAGAATGGATTTATAAATTAGACAGTGCCCTGGATGGAAAATGGATAAGGATGATTTCATACCCCGACTGCCTGGTGGGCAGGAGCACTTGAAATGGTTCACAAGGTCAATACAGGTGCCTCCATTCTGGCAGGGCTGATTCTGGCACTCATCCACTTCATACTCACAGTTGACACCCTGGTAGCCTGGGACGCACTGCCATGAGGAAGCAAAAAGGACGAGAAATATTGGAACATTACTGGCAACAGGCCATGAGAGCAAGTCAGATCTGAACATTTCTGTGACTCTCTCCCACCTCCCTGCTTAGATTTTGTATGTTTCTCTGGAACCATTACACTCTCTGCTAATCTGTCCATGCAGGGACAGACAACCTGCAGCTTACTGGCATTTATCTATTCCTCTTCCAGTTGAAAAAGGTGCATTAAAAGGAGGGCAGGTACTGAATACTCTGAAGGATATTTCAGATTTGACTTGTGTGCAACACTTTTGTTCCTCTTGTGTACGGGTTTCCTCATCTTTAAAATACACATTTCTCTGTAGGTGATGAGGACCCTATGACTCAGTCAAAAGGCATATGTGGATGGTAGTATAGACATGCATTTATTGATCTCCAGGTTTAGGAAACTATATGTATGTATGAGAAACTGGTTGAGATAGGCGTAGGGTAGAGGGAGGTAGAGCAGGCTGGCTAGCTGTGGTGGATGTAGGGGTTGGAGGGATTTCAGGGCTGATTAAGAAAAAAGACATGGCTGTGAGGTAGCTTTATTTGGACAATGCTTTGACAGGTTTGCACGTGGGAGAAGTTCCTTATAGCATGAGACCTTCCAGAGTGGTAGGTGGGTAAGGGGAAGACAGCAAGTAAACTCTGGGAAAGAAGGATCAGAAGAAGGAGTCTAGGTGATGTTACTCAGCAGCCAGTGGCAGGAATCTCTGAGTCAGAGAGCTCCAAAGGCCAGCATCAGTCTGGGATCTGCATGGCCCCAAGGTTTATTGGGGCCATGTCAGCCCAGGCATTAAAACAGTGACATGTCCCTTGATGACACATACTTCCTCAAATATATACATGTAACATTTAGCATGATGCTATGGGGAACAGGATAAGCAACATTTTTTTTGAGAGAGAATTGCAAGTTGACTGATTAATAATTACATACAAAGGTGACAGGGGCCAAAGGGACATTCCACAAAGCAGTTTTTCCTATCTCAGCTGCTATTCAGGGAATTGTAGACTGCTATGTTGGGTGGGCCTGTAGAATTCATCCTGGTAGTGACTGTCGGCTCTAAATCTTAAAAGCAACCATAAGGAGCTGGGATGGTTCCAGAAGCCTATAAAAATATCTTACTAGGGCCATGAGAGGCTGAAAGAAACAGTGGTAAACACTACGATGGGGATTGAAAACATCTATAAACTATAAATATAAGACGCAAGCAGCTAAATTAAATATACCAGGCTCAAGACAGTTGTACAATCTCCGGGGAGGTCCATGGCCTCTGCCTGCTCAGTGTCCTCACCTCACATCTGTATCCACCAATGAAGTCACTGCATGTTGCCCCGTGATGGCAGGGGTTGGACGCACACTCATTGAGCTGCTCCTCGCAGTAGCTCCCAGTATAGCCCAGGGGACATTGACAGTAATGCGTGTTGCCAGCGTTGATGCAGACACCTGAGTGCTGGCACAAGTGTTCAACAGGCACGCCTGGGAAACCCAGTGAGGAAGAAATGTCATAGAAGAACACGTGACACATACAGGGTTCAGACCAACCAATGAGCAAATAAATCTAAACTGAATGATGCATCAAATCTTATTTTTATCTATTTCTTCACACCCTCAGCACCAGACGCATATTAAAAATAAATAAACCCTCAAAATAAAATATGCCTTAGTTCCATCTCAAATACGTTTCTTCTCAGAATCTCGGAACCTATTCCTCTACCTTACACCTTCTGTCTTGAGCCCTTGCCCCAGAGCCCTGCTAACCCACTACTATCTGCTCTTCTCTCTTATCCCACAAAAATACCTGCTCTAAATGCCACTGGTCAGTCAATATTTCAGTGAATGACCTGAGCCCAAGGGAGTAAAGCTTACCTCTGCTGGAGGCCGCTATGTCACAAGAGACATTGGGCACGTCACAATAAGCACCAGCCCATCCAGATGGACACAGGCACCGGGACTCTGCTTTTTCCTGAACGCAAGTACCTTTGTTTTTACATGGAGACTGACTGCAGAGGTTCACCAGGGTCTGAAACAGAGGAGGGGTGTACATACATAAAATTCAAATACGAGAAATGAAGAAAAGAAGCTATACTGTGTTACAAGAAATCAAAGAAAAGCACACTGATTAGAAAGAAAAGAGAGCCTTTATCTAGTAAAAGAGCACTTAAACTAGATTCAGGGTTCCGAGGTACACCTAACCATTTTTATGTACCATAGGTCTTCACTAAATGTCATTATTAGGTTCTTGGAAACTGTGACTTTAAGCACAACGATATATAACAAAACCAATTTTACCACAGTATAATTGATACAAACAAGAGTTAAGTTCCTATACTTATTTCTGGTCAAAAGAAAATCATTAAACTTCAAATTAACACCCACTTCTAATATTAAACATTGAAATAAACAAACTATACATTCATGTAAGAAAGATTAATAAAAACAAGATAATTATTTATTCAATTTTTGGTGAATCCGTAACGGTAGTCCTAGTGGTGGCAGGTCAAATCAAGGAATAAATGTTTACAAAGCAAACTTGTCAGTACCTCTTACCCACCACACAGTTCAGAAAGCAACACTAACCAATATAACAGGCTTGCTGGGTGCTTTTGTACCACATTGTTTATTGTTGTGCACTCACATGAGTATTATAGGCATTATGAGTTTTAGTTTTAACAATAATTGGTATATTCATTCATTTATTTTCTAACCCACTTATTCCAGTTCAGGTTCATAAGTGGCCAGAGCCTATTCTGGCAGACTGGGACAGTGTAGACATGCCCACTTCACCCAACGTGCACAGCTTTGGGTTGTGGGAGGAAACTGAAGACCCTGGAGAAAATCCATGAAGTCATGGGGAGAACATGCAAACTCCACACAGATAGAAGCTCTAGCCAAAAACAGATTTTTTCCCCCACTCAATGTTACAACAAAATGACACTGAATGAAACAAAGTGATTTGAGGGCCTGCTGTAGTCTAATTCCTCTTAGGTTTTCTAAAGTTCTTAACACAAAAGCTTAAGTATTTGGGGAAACCCAACAGGTTTAGCTATTCCCAATGCTCTAGATATGATCTGCCTACATGTACGGCCACCGTGTAGTGCTAGAAAGAAAGAATTAAAGCTGTCAGACAGGTTCATACTTTCTGTGCTAATCCTGTTTGAGAAATCCACATGGGTCTTGAACAAAATCTATTCGTGGTGAATACGGGTAAAAGGACTTAACGCCTGTTAATAAACCTAAAACCTTTAAGAGCTTATTTCTAAGGAAGACAATCAGGCTTATGAAAAATGTGAGGCGGGAGGAGGATCCAAGATGGCCGATTAGACACAACTCCAGTGCACAACACCCAGCGAGAGAGACGCAGAAACCCAGAGATCTCCTAACTCTAACTGAGGTACCAGGTGCATTTCAATGGTCTGGTTTGAGGGTGAGCAAAGCCCAGTCAGGGCAGACCAAGGTGGGGAGGGGTGTGCTGCTTCACCCATAAAGTGCATCTGACCGGCGAGTCGGAGGCCCCACCTCTGGTGCTCCGGTCCAGATACAGCACTTCCCCCAAAGCCTCAGCAATACACAGAACAGGAGATCTTTGCCAGTCAAGCGCCGGGAATTACAAGTGTGGGGTTGAATGAGAGTCTGCAGACTGAGCTATTGCCCCCCGGAGGGAGAGGGAGCTGCGGGAGCAGCTGGGCGGTCCCTACCCCCTGACTGGAGAGAGAGGCAGCTAAAAGCGGGAGACTGCCGGGTGTGGCTGGGTGGGTCCCTAACCTCCCCAACAAACCCCAGAGGGCTGAAGCTCTGACTCTAGTGGGTTGCACAGCCAGTGCCACAGTCTGAGATGAACCCTGAATGATCCAGCCCAGTGGAAGAAGGGCACAACCCACCCCTAGAGGGGTGGGACTGGGCTACATGTTTTAACAAAAAACACAGGAAGCCCACGTGGCAAGTGGACAGCGTTCTTGACAACCCAGCAGCGCGTACAGGTCAGCGGAAGAGGCGGGCCTAATCTCCCAGCATAAACAAAAAAGAGACAGGAAGCTTCCCTAGTAACCTGAAGGAGTCCCTAGAAACCCAGTAGCGCCCCCACAGGCAGACAAGCGGCCTCATCAAGCAGCTCTCTGACACCACAGCCAGGTAAATCCACAAAGATGGGAAAAAACCAGTACAAAAAAGGTGAAACCATCAAACACCAGAACACCTCTTCTCCTTCAAGGGATCACAACTTCTCAACAATACAGGATCACGACTTGACCGAGAAGGAGTGCAAAGCATTGACAGAAACAGGATTCAGAAGGTGGATAATAACAAACTTTTCAGAACTAAAGGAACACGTTCTAACTCAATGCAAAGAAACCAAAAACCTTGAGAAAAGGTTAGATGAAATGCTAATTAGAATAACCAGCTTAGAGAAGAACATAAACGACTTGATGGAGTTGAAAAACACAGCACGAGAACTACATGAAGCAAACACAAGTTTTAATAGCCGAATCGATCAAGCAGAAGAAAGGATATCAGACAGTGAAGATCAACTCAATGAAATAAAGAGAGAAGGCAACATAAGAGAAAAAAGAGCAAAAAGAAATGAACAAAGCCTCCAAGAAATATGGGATTATGTGAAAAAAACTAATATACACTTGATCGGTGTACCTGAATATGATGAGGAGAATGAATTCAAGCTGGAAAACACACTCCAGGATATTATCCAGGAGAACTTCCCAAGCCTAGCAAGGCAGTCCAAATTTCAAATTCAAGAAATACAGAGAACTCCACAAAGATATTCCTCAAGAAGAGCAACCCCAAGGCACATAATCATCAGATTCACCAGGGTCGAAATGAAAGAAAAAATGCTAAGGGCAGCCAGAAAGAAAGGTCAGGCCACCCACAGAGAGAAGCCAATCAGACTCACAGCAGATCTCTTGGCAGAAACCCTACAAGCCAGAAGAGAGTGGGGGCCAATATTCAACATCCTTAAAGAAAAGAACTTTGAACCCAGATTCTCATATCCAGCCAAACTAAGCTTCATAAGTGAAGGAGAAATAAAATCCTTTATGGACAAGCAATTATTGAGAGATTTTGTCACCACCGGACGTGCCCTACAAGAGCTCCTGAAAGAAGCACTAAGCATGGAAAGGAACAAGTACCAGTCACTGCAAAAGCAAACTGGTTGGCAAAGACCAAAAATGCAATGAAGAAAATGATTCAACTAACGAGAAAGAAAACCAGCCAGTAACAAAATGGCAGGATCAAATTCACACATAACAATATTAACATTGAATGTAAATGGCCTAAACGCTTCAATCAAAAGACACAGACTGGCAAACTGGATAAAAAGTAAGCACCCATTGGTGTGCTGTATTCAAGAAACCCATCTCACATACAAAGACACACATAGTCTCAAAATAAAGGGATGGAAGAAGATTTACCAAGCAAATGGAGAGCAAAAAAAAGCAGGGGTTGCAGTCCTAGTCTCTGATAAAATGGACTTCAAGCCAACAAAGATCAAAAGAGACAAAAAAGGACATTACATAATGGTAAAAGGATCAATCCAACAGGAAGAGCCAACTATCCTAAATATATACGCCTCCAACACATGAGCACCCAGCTACATAAGGCAAGTTCTTAACAACCTAAAACGAGATTTAGACTCCCACACGACAATAGTGGGAGACTTCAATCCTCCACTGTCAATATTAGATGGATCAACAAGACAGAAAATTAACAAGGATATCCAGGACTTGAATGCAGAGCTGGACCAAGCAGATCTAATAGACATATACAGAACGCTCCATCCCAAATCCACAGAATATACATTTTTCTCAGCACCACATTGCACTTACTCTAAAATTGACCACATCATTGGAAGCAAATCACTCCTCAGTAAATGCAAAAGAACAGAAATCATAACAAACAGTCTATCAGACCACAGCGCAATCAGACTAGAGCTCAGGATCAAGAAACACACTCAAACCCACACAACCACTTGGAAACTGAACAACTTGCTTCTGAATGTTGACTGAATAAACAATGAAATGAAGGCAGAAATAAAGATGTTCTTCGAAACCAACCAGAATGAAGACAAAACTTACGAGAATCTCTGGGACACCTTTAAAGCAGTATCGAGAGGTAAATTTATAGCAATAAATGCCCACCAGAGAAGAGAGAAAAGATCTAAAATCAACACCCTATCATCAAAATTGAAAGAACTAGTGGAGCAAGATCAAAAAAACTCAAAAGCTGGTAGAATACAAGAGATAACTAAGATCAGAGCAGAACTGAAGGAGACAGAGACACAAAAAAACCTTCAAAAAAATCAATAAATCCAGGAGCTGATTTTTGAAAAGATCAACAAAATAGACAGACTGCTAGCCAGATTAATAAAAACGGAAAAGAACCAAATAGATGCAATAAAAAATGATAAAGAGGATATCACCACTGATCCCACAGAAATACAAACTATGATCAAAGATTACTACAAACAGCTCTACTCACATAAACCAGTAAACCAGGAAGAAATGCATAAATTCCTAGCCACTTGTACTCTACCAAAACTAAACCAGGAGGAAGCTGAAACCCTGAATAGACCAATAACAAGGACAGGAGTAGAGGCAGAAATCAATAGCCTACCAACCAAAAACAGTCCAGGTCCAGACAGGTTCACAGCCATATTCTACCAGACATACAAAGAGGAGCTGCTTCCATTCCTTCTGAAACTGTATCAAACAATACAAAAGGAGGGAATCCTCCCTAATTCATTTTATGAGACCAACATCATCCTGATACCAAAACCAGGCAGAGACTCAACTAAAAAAGAAAACTTCAGGCCAATATCCATGATGAACATCTATGCAAAATCTTCAATAAAATACCGGCAAACAGATTACAACAGCACATCAAGAAGCTTATCCATCACGACCAAGTAGGCTTCATCCCAGGGATGCACGGCTGGTTCAATCCATAAGCGTAATCCATCACATAAACGGAACTAAAGACAAAAACCACGTGATTATCTCAACAGATGCAGAGAAGGCCTTTGATAAAATTTAACAGCTCTTCATGCTAAAAACTCTCAATAAACTAGGTATTGATGGAACATATCATAAAATGATAAAAGCTATATATGACAAACCTACAGCCAATATCATACTGAATGGGCAAAGGCTGGAAGAATTCCCTTTGAAATCAGGCACTAGACAAGGATGCCCTCTCTCACCACTCCTATTCAACATAGTATTGGAAGTTCCAGCCAGAGCAATCAGGCAAGAAAAAGAAATAAAGGGTATTCAGTTAGGAAAGGAGGAAGTCAAACTGCTTCTATTTGCAGATGATATGATTGTATATCTAGAAGACCCCATCGTCTCAGCCCCAAATCTTCTCAAACTGATAAGCAACTTCAACAAAGTCTCAGGATACAAAATCAATGTGTAAAAATCACAAGCATTCCTATATACCAATAACAGACAAACAGAGAGCCAAATCAAAAGCAAACTCCTACTCACAATTGCTACAAAGAGAATAAAATACCTAGTAACACAACTAACAAAGGATGTAAAGGACCTCTTCAATGAGAACTACAAACCACTGCTCAAAGAAATAAGAGAGAACACAAACTGATGGAGAAACATTCCATGTTCATGGTTAGGAAGAATCAATATTGTGAAAATGGCCATACTGCCCAGAGTAATCTATAGATTCAATGCTATCCCCAACAAGCTACCAATGACCTTCTTCACAGAACTGGAAAAAGCCATTTTAAACTTCATATGGAATCACAAAAGACCCCGCATAATCAAGACAATCCTAAGCAAAAAAAACAAAGCTAGAGGCATCACACTGCCAGACTTCAAACTATACTACAAGTCTACAGTAATCAAAATAGCATGGTACTGGAACCAAAACAGAGACATAGACAAATGGAACAGAATAGAGACCCCAGAAGAAACACCACATGTTTACAACCATCTGATCTTTGACAAACTCAGAAAAAACAAGCAATGGGGAAAGGACTCCATGTTTAATAAATGGTGTTGGGAAAACTGGCTAGCAATGTGCAGAAAGCAGAAACTGGACCCCTACCTGTCGCCTTACACTAAAATTAACTACAGATGGATCAAAGATTTAACATAAAACCTAACACCATTAAAACACTAGAAGAAAACGTAGGCAAAACCATCCAGGACATAGGCATAGGCAAGGACTTCATGACTAAAACACCAAAAGCAATGGCAATAAAAGCCAGGATAGACAAATGGGATCTAATTAAACTCCAGAGATTCTGCACAGCAAAAGAAACCATTATTAGAGTGAATTGGCAACCAACAGAATGGGAAAAAATTCTTGCAATCTACCCATCTGACAAAGGGCTAATATCCAGAATCTACAAAGAACTAAAACAGATATACAAGGAAAAAAACAAATAACCCCACTCAAAAGTGGGTGAAGGATATGAACAGACACTTTTCAAAAGAGGACATATATGAGGCCAACAAACATATGAAAAAATGCTCATCATCACTGGCTATTAGAGAAATGCATATCAAAACCACACTGAGATATCATCTCATGCCAGTTAGAATGGTGATCATTAAAAAATCGGGAGACAACAGATGCTGGAGAGAATGTGGAGAAATAGGAACACTCTTACACAGTTGGTGGGAGTGTAAATTAGTTCAACCATTGTGGAAGACAGTGTGACGATTTCTCAAGGATCTAGGAATAGAAATTCCATTTGACCCAGCAATCCCACTATTGGGTACATACCCAAAGAACTATAAATAATTCTACTATAAAGACACATGCACACGTATGTTCATTGCAGCCCTGTGTACAAGAGCAAAGACCTGGAACCAACCCAAATGCCCATCAATGATAGACTGGACAAAGAAAATGTGGTACATATACACCATGGCCTACAGAGCCATAAAATGCGATGAATTCATGTCCTTTGTAGGGACTTGGATGAATCTGGAAACCATCATTCTCAGCAAATTGACCCAAGAACAGAAAGCCAAGCACCGTTATGTTCTCACTCATAGGTGGGTGTTGAACAATGAGAACAGGTGTACTCAGGGAGAGGAGCACCACACACGGGACAGTTGCGGGGGGGAGAGACAACAGAGAATGGGGAGGGAGGGGTGGGCGGGGAGGGATAACATGGGGAGAAATGCCAGATATAGTATGCACCTAAAGTAAAATAAATAAATTAAAAAAAAAAAAGAAATTTAAGAGAGATCACCTTAAATTCGTAAAGCAATTTGAGGAACAGTGCTATCTTAATAATGGTCTTCCAATCCATGAACATGGGATGCCTTTTAATTGATTTGATGTTTTATATTTTTCCATGTCTTGCAGTTCTTGTGTTTTAGTCCTAAATGTTTTGTTTGTTTCAATGCTATTGTAGATAGAATTCCTTTTTTAAAATAGATTTTGATTGTTATTACTGTATAGAAATACAATTGACTTTGTTGATCTTGCATTTTACAACCTTGCTGAAATTGTTTATTAAGTCTAATAGTTTTGTTGTGTATGTGGATTCCTATAAGATTACATCATTTTTAAATATAGGTAAGTTTAATTATTTCTTCCCAAAAAAAGAAAGAAAGAAAGAAAAATGTGAGGCAAAGAGTGCAGAAGGACTAGCCCCTTTCATCTTAATTCACACATGGAGTGGCTTGGCCCTTTGAGGAGAGGAAGGTCAAATTCACAATTCAAATTTCACTGGCACTTCCATTTACACTATGAGAACAGATAGGAGCCCAACAAAAGATGATCTCGTGATCCATGGAATCAGCAACAAGCTGCTTAATTTTGTGGAGGTGGGTGCTTGCATGTCTAATGCAGCCAAAGCCTTACTTAAGTGCACCCTGTAAGTCAAGTTAAATTTGGCCATTTGCTCCTATGTTCCTTGGAGTTATTATTCTGTCACTATTAAAGAGGTAGAATAACATAAAATTAAACACAGTGCTGTTTGGTATGCAACTTCGGAAAAGTTACTTTGCCGTTCTGGGGCTCAGTTTTGCCTTCCATGAAATCAAAGGTTAGATTAGTTGCCTATAAGGGCTCTTTCCATCCTAAAATTTTATGGAAATGTGTATTACATATTTGAACTTAAAAGATATGTAAAGTGTTTGAGAATGTTACAACATTGCAAGACATAATTATCATTATTACTCTCTTAGATGTTGCATCTGACCTTTAAAAGGTAATTTTGATTATTCTCTATTTTCTTCAGTTCTTTTGGTGCTTCCAGTGTAAACAAAACAAAACAAAACCATGTTTATTTCCCACCTGTATTTTTCTGCAGTTCTTGGTTGCCCCTTTTAAAGATCTTATATTTGTGAATCCATATCACATTGCTAGTGTCATCATTTTAGAATCTACAAGTTATTAAGCAGTTACCTAGATTTATCTCAGGGACATCCCTGATATCCACAATGTTCTCTTTTAGAGGAGTGTATTCAGACTAAAAAGTAAATAGGTATAATATTCAGCTGCTCTAGAGGAGCTGAGTGAATGGGAAGGAAGTCAATTACCTGACAGTTTTTTCCAGTGTAGCCCAAGGAGCAGGTGCAGTGGTAGGTACCCAGGCCATCAACACATGTTCCCTCATTCAGACATGGATGAGAGCTGCATTCATTGATCTCATGGAGGCAGAAGGGTCCAGTGAAACCCACAGGGCACAAGCAAGAGAAGGAGTTAACCCCATCAATACATGTGCCACCATTGAAACAGGAGCTAAGAAACAAAAAGGGAGAGCAACATCAGCTATGTATTTTGTGACTGGCTACCCGAAAGTAAGATTTCTGGAATCTAAGATGTTACAGAGGCAAATACCCCTGAGTACCCCATATCCCATAAACTTTCTTACAAGCTAGATTGGCTGCCAGAAGCTCTCAGGTGCCCATTTCCTTTCTATAACCAAAGGCTTAGAAGTATTTAAAAGGCTGAGCTTATTATAAATACCTAGAGAAAGTGAACTTTTCTAGGTTTTACCCAGTTCGTCTGTGGTTTTCTCATGTACCACATTTCATTTTATCTCTAAGTCAATTTAATTTATAAGAAAAGTGCTCTTCACTATAGAATATAAAATAAAAACAGAACAAACATGTTCATAATATTATAAAAAGAAATGAAACAAACCTCCCAGAAATTACTTAAAGAATGGTAACAATTCCAATCTTTACAGAGAAATTTGAATTTTTGGATTTTTGAAATGAACAAGAGACCAAGGGAAGAACAGAACAGAATTATAGCTCTTTCTGTTCCCTAAGCAAGAAACAAACAATAAAACATCCTTATAAACTTTTCAACTTCTCATCTTTGACTTTCTAACTATTATATATGTTTATCAGGAATCAGGAACTGGGCAATAGGAGATTGCCCTATGGACTAGTATCCATGTGGACACCTCATCCCTGCTCCACAATTCTAGCACTATGCTCTGAAGTTTCCTCCTCTTTCTCCCTTTCTCTCATAAGATGCTGATGCCCAAGTGATTGGTTGTTCACCTCTCAGTGCACTCATCGATGTTGTTCTCACAGTGGACTCCATCAAATCCTGCCTGGCACTTGCAAGTGTAACTGTTGACGTAGTCAGAGCAGGTCCCTCCATTCTTACAGGGTTCATTCAGACACTCATTCACGTCTGTCTGGCACTTATCCTCAGTGAAACCCGGAAGGCAGAGGCAGGAGAAAGTATTCACTCCATCCACACAGGAACCTCCATTCTGGCAAGGATCTAAGCCATTACACAAGAATTAGAGCTCTGAACAGTAGCATCAATTTAATCTTAAACTCATAAAAGTGAATGACCTGAACTAAGTCACGCTGAGGACAGCATAATTCTGATCTTTTCATTAAATTTTGCCAACTCCCCCATTTATGAAAATGAATTCAATAGTACTTGCTTGAAATTTTTAACCTGCTTGTTAACTGGAATAAAATTCACCTATATCACCACTAACAGTTTTGTAAAATTAATAGTCATAAAACTTGCATTGGTCCCTTGCAAATCAAACATGCGCCCCAATACACAGAATATAAATCAATACTTTCAAAAGGTATATGTCATGGTGGAGTATGTGGAGGAGGACAAAATACATATATCCATGTTTTTCCAGGCATACTAACTATATAAATTAATCCTCTCTCTGCTTCACTTCTGTCTCCTCCTTCTCCTTCTCTCTTTTAGATTTAAGTAGTCTTATGAAACAAAGTTTAAATAAAAATTGAAATATCACATAGCTTGATCTTGGAACACTTCATATTCATAGTAATAAACCAACAAATTTTAAGCTACAATCATGCCATGGCACTCTACAATTAGGGCATACAAATCAGAACAAGAAAAACAAGATGTAGCTATGGCTCTTAAGGAACTTATAACTGCAAAAACAGGGCTTACATGTAAAATGATATTCAAGTTGTTAAAAATCAGTGGAAAAAGAATATCATTTTTTTTTCTTTTCTTGCAAACTATACAAAGAGAATCTTTTTTTTTTTTTTTTTTTTTTTGAGTTTCGCCTCTGTCACCCAGGCTGGAGTGCAGTGGCGTGATCTCAGCTCACTGCAACTTCTGCTCCTGGGTTCAAGCGATTCTCCTGCCTTAGCCTCCTGAGTAGCTGGGATTACAGGTGCCCCCCCACCATGCCCAGCTATATTTTTGTATTTTTTAGTAGAGACTGGGTTTCACCATATTGACCAGACTGGTCTCGCACTCCTGACCTCATAATCTGCCCACCTCAGCCTCCCAAAGTGCTGGGATTACAGGCATGAGCCACTATGTCTGGCAAAGAAAATATCTTAAAAGCAGCCACAGGAGAGATAATTACACATGATGGAACAAATAAAAGAACTGTTGAATATCCAGCAGATTTCTCCTCAGAATAATGCAAGGTAGAAGACAATAGGATAACTTTAAAGTACTGAAGGAGAAAGTCAATTTAGAATTCTCTTTCCTGTGAAACTATCTTTGAAAACTGTAGCCAAATAAAAACCTTTCTGACACACAAAAACAGAAAGACTTCATTACCAGGAGACAAAGACTACACAAAATATTCAAGGAATTTTTTCAGACAGGAGGAAAATGATGCCTGATGGAACCACAAATTTGCATAAAAGAATGAAAACCAACAAGAATTGGAAATATGTGGGTAACTTAAAGACTTTTAAATTATTTTTCAAATTTCTTGAAAAAATAATTGAACTTTCAGAGTTCAATTATATTTGGAGGGTTTAATGATATATACATTTTATAACAACAATAGAAGAGAGGCCAGGAGGAATGTAAATGTGCGTGTACAGCTCTTCTTCTCTACATAAAGTGGTATGATTGATGGTACATTATAATATGTTAAAGCTGCATACAGTAATCCCTACAATAACTACTAAAAAAGATACAGCTAATGTGGTGATGAATAAATAAAATATAATCATAAAAAGTATTCAATTATTTCAAAAGATGTCAGAAAAAAAGAAAAATGGAAACAATAAACAGAAAGAACAAAGACACAGCAAAGAGCAAGATGGCATATTTTGAAACCAGCCATATAAAAAACTACATTAAATTTAAACAGTCTAAATACCTGAATTAAAAAACAGATATTGTCATATTGGAGAAAAAAGACAAGAACCAATATATGGTCTCTAAAAGAAACCCATTTTAGAGAAACAGGCCAGAAGTAAAAGGATTTTTAAAAACACACTCTAATGATAAAATAAAGCTAGAGTAGCTATATCAATAACAGGCAAAGTACACTTCAAAGAGAGAAATGTGACAAGAGTTTAAAAAGGGCCATTTTAAAATGATAAAAGGGTCAATTATTCAAAAGGACATAAGAACCCTAAATGTTCATGAACTTAAGATTAGAGTTTCAAAATTCATTAAGCCAAAACTAACAGAATTACTAGAGAAACAGACAAATATACAACTATTATAGAAGATTTCAATATCCCTTCATGAATAATAAGTAGACAGAAAGTCACGGAGGACATAAAAGACCTGAATAACACTATTATCCAATTTGAATTAATAACATTTATGGAACACTCTATGAAAAAAATCTGCAAAACAGACATTCTTTCCCTTCAAAGAAAGAAGAGACAAATTACCAGTAGTAGAAACAAAAGAAGGAAACCATCACAGATCTTATAGATATTAAAGCACCATAAGGGAATGTTATAAAACATATTGATGTTATGTTAATAAATTTGAAAAAACAGATGAATTAGAATAATTCTTTGAAAGATATTACCAAAGCTCAATTAAAAGCAAATAGCCCCATATGACACTATATGTATTAGGAAAACCAAACTCGTAGTTAAAATCTTTCCCAGAAAGAAGGTTCCGTATCAGATATTTGGAAGAAAACACACCAGTTCTACAAAAGTTTTTCCAGAAAATAGAAAGAAACACTTCTTGATATGTTCTATGAGGACAGCATCGCCCTCCCATCATGAGACAATGACAGTACAAGAAACCTGGAGAACATTATCCTTCATGAACACAGACATACAAATTCTTAACAAAATTTCGCCAAATCAAATCCAATGACATGTAAAAGGAATAATGCATAATGACTAAGTGGAATATAACTCATAAATTTAACATTAGTTTAACACTTGCAAAATGTTAAATAATAAAGTTAATCATAATTTACTTATATTAAAAGACTAAATAATATCACCATCTCAACGGATGTAGATAAATCAATTGCATACAAAAAAAAATCAACATTCATTCATTATAAAAAGACAAAAAAACCTCTACAAGGTCTCTCAATTTGATAAAGGGCCTTTATGAAAACCAATAGGTAACATCTTTCTTAGGGGTGAAAGACTACATGCTTTTCCCCTAGGATCAAAAACAAGACTGGCTTCTCTCACTACTTCTATTTGGCATTTACTGAAGATCTTACTACAATAATACTAAACTAAATAAAAGGCATATAGGGTTGAAAAGAAATTAAAGGCATAAAGGTTATCTTTATTTATAGACAGCATAATTGCATCTGTAGAAAATTCTAGCAATCTAAACTAATCTAGAGGATAACCTAGGAACCTACAACTAATAAGAAGTTAGTTTAGTATAGTTAGAAAAAAACAAAAAAAAAAACTAAACGACTTTTAAGTCACACAATATGAAAAAATTAATTCAAAATAGATCATAGACTAAAATGAAAGATCTAAAATTACACAACTTTTAGAAGAAATCACAGTAGATAAACCTTGAGTTTGGATTAGGCGAAGATTTGTTAAACAAGACATGAAGCATGAACTATAAAGGAAAAACATGAGTACACTGAATTTCATCAGTGTTAACATCTTCCTCTTCAAAAGAAAATCAAAAGAAAAGCTATAATTTGGGAGGAAATAGTTGGGAAAAAAAAACACCTGCCAAAGAATTCTTATCTAGAAATATATAAAACTCTTTGAACTCAAGAAGACAATCCAATTATTTCAAATGGGTTGTCTTTTTGAGTTCAAAGATGTAAACACACATTTCACCAGCAAAGACGTGCAGATGGGCAAATAGCACACGAAACTATGCTTAATACCATTAGCAAAGAGAATAACACAAATTAAAATCACAATGATATACTACTATACACCCACTAGAAGAGCTAAATTTAAAATGACTGATAGCACCAAGTGTTTGTGAGCATATGGTTGAAATAAAACTTTCATACAATTCTGGTGAGAACGAAAATAGTACAACCACCTTGGAAAATGTTTTGGCAATTTCTTAAAAAGTGAAAATACACTTACCACATGACTCACCAATTCTACTCCTAGGTATTTACTCAAGAGAAATAAAACCATATGTCTACACAAAGACTCATTCATAGCAACTTCATTTGTAATATCCCCAAATGGGAAAACACCCAAATGACCATCAACCAATGAACTTTACTATGCCCATACAATGAAATACCGCACAACAATAAACTAGAATGAACTATTGATACAAACAACATGGATGGATCTATGTTCAAGTCAGAATCTCTCCCCACCAAAAAATGTATGCTTATCTGATTGCACTTATATAAAATGATAAACATCTGCCAACTAATAATCTATAGTGACAGAACGTAAATCTCTGGCTCCACGGGCAAGAAAGAGAGAAAAAATTAAATTGCAATGGGATGGAAATACTTTTAGGGTGATAAATATGTTTTATTATTTTGGGTGATAGTTTCAGTTGCCATATGTCAAAATGTGTCAAATTGTACACTGATAATATTTGCCATTTGATGTACATTAATTATACCTCAATAAATCTGTTTTTTTAAAAAAGCACTATCAAAGCACTGTCCTCACATTTTCAGTGTTTACAAATTAAAGGGAATGCTTAAAATATATCCCACTGCCTCAACTCCCAAGGACACTAGCTTCAAAAGGAAGAATTAAAACACTATTATTAAATATGCTGGAAAAATGACCAGTATGGCCAATGTCAGGCATGAGAGGCAGCAGCCTCCACTGAGCTCTCTTCTGCTCCCTGTGTGCTCTCCTCTCCTGAGGGGGCTTAGGAGCTGACGGGCATACTCACTGGCAAGGCAGTCATCGATGTCCTCCTCACAGTCCATGCCACTGAAGCCTGGTGGGCATTCACACATGTAGCTACCCTGGGTGTTATGGCAGAGACCATGGTTCATGCAGGGCTTGGAGATACACTCATCAATGTCAATGGTACACTGCTGACCTAGAAACACAAGGACAATAAATGACCTAATCCTTAGAAGCTGCTTCCCACAAAAATCTATGCAGGACCTGAGCTTAGTTGGGGTGCATGGAGCTACTCCACAGACAAACTGTTGGTCCCCTGCTTTAGAAAGTTCCAGGAAGACTTCTGTTGCTTAGAAAGTTGATACCAAAGTGCTAAAACACCCTGTAGAATGAACATCATGGCTCAAGAGCCTTGGGTTGCAGCCTTCCAGCCACTAGGGGGCCCCAAAGACACAGACAATGGAAAGGCTTTCTAAGCCATTCCAGTTAGCCGCTCCTGTGTAAAATCTGTGCTCTTGACAAGATGGACAGGTCTCAGAAGACCAGCAGGGCCTTCCATATCATCTGATGACCTGACCACTTTGTTTAAAGTTCAGAATGCATATTCTTGGCTTTTCCATGCCCATGCTGTTACCTTGCCAGCCAGGAGCACATAAGCAGGTATAACTCTCAAAATTTGGTGACTCTTTGCAAACAGCAGCATTCTCACAAGGATTTGGGGAACAGGGAGCCAATACTGTTTGACAATTCTTGCCTGGAAAGTAAATAAGAGAGTTTATGACAGATAAACAGGAAAGAAAATGAAAATTTTCCCAAGTTGTAACCTAAGATGTTCTCAGAATTCAAGTCAAAAGTCCTGATTAAGAGGCTTTGGAAATGGAGAAACCCCAGTCTTTTCAGCATTGGCTCTGACATTGCTAATTGTGTGACCTTGGGCAAGACAGTTAGGGACTTCCTATAACTGTGATTTTATGAACTAGACCTGTTAAATGTAGTTTCCCTACATTAATATTTTTTCTAGAGGGGAAACGGTAACAATGTACTATCACGTCTTTGAGGTAACAGTCATGCTATGGCTATTCTGCTACGCTACACAACTTAGAGTCACTATTAACACCTGCTACTAACAGGTCAAGACTCCAGGGAATAACTCAGCCATGCTCCTGACTGCATGCCGTAACCTGATGAAACAGGCAAAGTTATTGTCCATGTTTGTGTTTTGTTCCCTCTGAATGAAGAAAATAGATGGAAGAGAAGAAAAACAAGCCATAGAAATATAACCAATCACAAGAAGGCAATTATAAGCCAGTAAAAACAAAATAAATGTCCCAAGCACACTCCAAACATAACACCTTCGAAACAAAGAAGTTATGTGACATGCAGTCACACTCACGTCTTCTCAGTTGTAACAGCCATCGAAGGGGTGACACCTCTGAGTGAGATGTAGCGGTACTGAATGTGGGAAGTAAAAAGGCCATTAAGAGGAAGAGCTTCAGATTCAAAGAGACTTACAGGTAAATCCTATATGTACCACTTACCTATATGACCTTGAGCAAGCAAGCTCCCTTTGCCTCATCCTCCTCATGTTTAAAATGGCATAGGAACTTCTACATTGCTGAATTATTGAGGAATACATTAAAGAACCCAAAGTACAAAAGTGTCTGGCACATAGTAAATTACCAATAAATGGTAGCTGTATTATTGAAACTAAGACAAATAGCTAATATCCTGGAAACATTCGAATGATAACCATGAGCTATGTGCCAGGTTCCAGCCACATACAATTAAAAAAAGTTTTTTTTTCAAATACTAAAGCACAATGGAGGCAAATGACTGTCCCCCACTTGCATCTTAGGAGGCCACAATGTTTTTTCAAAGCTCAAGATCCAGTCAGTACAGGCAAGAAGGACAACTGAGGAGTGAGTCCTCGGAGCAGCACTGCAGCCCCACAGACCTGGGCACTGAGACTCAGGCATTGCCAAAGCAAGGCCAAGTATCCCCTCTGGTCCCTGCTGGCACTCCAGGACCCACCTGTGTACGGCAGCACACAGTGGCAAGTGTAGCCACTTATGTCATCAAAGCAGGTTCCTTGGTTCAGGCATGGATTTGAGGCACATTCATCAATATTCACCTGGCAGTTATAGCCTGTAGACAAAAGGGATACATCAAAAACAGTAAAATTTTCTGACAGCCTCACTATCTCAATGTCTAACCAATTCCCTTGGGGTAAAAATTGAATACATCGGAAACTGCACTCACTTCTTCAGACCACTGAAATACCTGTTCATTCATTTCAGCACCAAGTCCCTGACATACAGTCAGTAAATGACAGTAGTCAATTAGTTGAAAAGATGAATGGGAAAACAGTTTATTATAATGGTCTGAAAGCCTAATGCCTCTCCAAATACAAATAACTTCTCAATAATGAAGCTCTTGGTTCAAAAGCTTGTTGCATGATCTATTTAATATTTATTTATTTTTGAGACAGGGATTTCCCTCTGTCATTCAGGCTGGAGTATAGCTGTGTAATCATGGTTCACTGCAGCCTTGACCTCTCGGGCTCAGCAATCCTCCCACCTAAGCCTCCTTAGTAGCTGGAACCACAGGTGCATGCCATCACACCCATTTGATTTTTAAAATATTCTGTAGAGATGAGGTCTCATTATGTTGCCCAGGCTGGTCTCAAACTTCTGGGCTCAAGCGATCCTCCCACCTCAGCCTTCCAAAATGCTGGGATTACAGGTATGAGCCACTGCACCCAGCCAACAGCTTGCTGCATGATAAACATAAGCCCTTTGTATACAACATTTCTGGTCAGGAAAAGGGATGATGTTTTTTAGTACATTAATCAAAGCCTCTGATTTATGCCCACTTTTGCATAGGCTCAGTGTCTACCACCCATGTGGTACTTCCTGAAGTTACAAAGCTGTTTTTTCCTGATTCAAGGCATGAAACCTTCTCCCACTAAGAAAAGGATAAAAGGAATAAAAGATTAATGGGGATAGGACAGTACCCAAATAGTGCACACCTTTGCATAGGGCCTGACACAGAGCCTTAAAATAGAGTATGGCACTGTGGACAAGAAAACATGGTCTAGGAGTACAGAGGTATGGGTTCAAGGAGTATTCTGCTGCTCACTGGGCATATAACTTGGGATTTTACCTTTTGAATTTTATTTTGTTCACTGATAAGTCTCATAAAATAAAGAAACAAAAGTGTTTTGAAATCTACAAGTTTCTTTGCCAATGTAACATATCAGAAAATTAATGGCTGAAATACGGTCTCAGGAAAATTTCAAGTAATCAAATAAAGTGGCTCTAAAACATGCTAATGTATTACAATAGCATGGTGCAATATTTGAGAGTGAGGAAATCAATGAATAAGAAGACAGATGAGTGCAAATATAATGATTTACCCATACATGTCTCTTTTGTGAGTTTCCAAGAGAAAATTAATGGTAGAAATACAAGAGTGATAACTCAAGAAACACATTTTACACAATTCCCATGACTATACATTTGTTGTGTAGGCCAGCAGTCCCTCAACTTTTTTGGCACCAGGGACTGGTTTCATGGAAGACAATTTTTCCATGAACTGGGATTGTGGGGGGGGGGGGTGGTTTCAGGATGATGATTGAAGCACATCAAATTTATTGTGCACCTTATTTTTATTATTATAATATTACACTGTAATATATAATGAAACAGTTTTACAACTCATTATAATGTAGAATCAGTGGGAGCCCTGAGCTTGTTTTCCTGCAACTAGACAGTCCCATCTGGAGGTCATGGGAGACAGTGACAGATCATCAGGCATTTGATTCTTATAAGAAGAACACAACCTAGATCCCTCAAATGTGCAGTTCACAATAGGGTTTGCAGTCCTATGAGAGTCTAATGCCACCATTGATCTGACAGAAGCGGAGCTCAGGCAGCAATGCGAGTGATGGGGAGTGGTTATAAATACAGATGAAGCTTTGCTCCCTGACTGGGTGCTCACCTCCTGCTGTGTGGCCTGGTTCCTAACAGGCCACAGACAGGTACTGATCTGCGGCCTGAGGGTTGAGGACCTCTGATGTAGACCAAAGGATGACTAAGTACCTAAGAATATCTCAATGTGTAAAGAAGTTTGTTGAAAGAGTTCTGAACATGTGGATTCTTCCTTGATATTACTACTATCTTAATTATAGTAGGCATAATATTTTTTACTTCTATACGTCCATTTGAACTATCACAGACTCATACCTGGACCAGGAGGCTTACAATTAGACACTTGGCCAAAGCTGTAAAACTAAAGTCTTAACTGCTCATTTTAAATACTCCTGTTTCCATAGGTTATCTCTCTGCTAGGCTGAAGGTAGAAATTATAGCTATTCATATTTTTGCTCCCAAGTGCCTTACAGGTTGTAATTGCTCAATATGTTTGCTACATGAATGAATGAAAAAAGAGTAAAGGAAACTAAGGAGTGAGTGAAGCAGTATGCAACAACAAGAGGACAAAGAGCAGACACAGAAAGCTGTACTTCTGTTTCACCTTTAAATCCCTTCGGGCAAGTACACCGGTATCCATTCACCAGATCGTCACAAGTTCCTCCATTCTGGCATGGGTTAGAAAGGCATTCATTTTTGTCTACTTCACAGTTGATGCCAACCCAGCCTGCATCACAGAGGCACTTATATCTGAAAGAAGATAAAACTTTTTACCATAGGAGGTATAAATGTGATTGAGTCACAGCGTGAAATATAGGACTTGATGAAGAAATGGGACAAACTGATCTTATTTCTCTTTCATGGAACTATCCTTGCATCACCTTGCACATGGTGTGTACCATGTGGGCCCATCGGGTGTATCCAGTAAAGAAACCTTCTTGGTGCTTTCCTGGCTCACTAAGTTAGTGAAATTATAATGAAATTTCTTGTGTAAACAATGGTTAGTACAATATATTGGGCCACTCTGAAGGAAACAATATCATGGATAAATCTGCACGATGTATTTTATTGTACATAAAAGTAAAATAAAGCAAACGTTAAGATCATTAGTTTTTGGTGCAAAATAGAGGCCTAGGTCACCGTCAGAGACCCTAAGCCACTCTAGGATGCTCCTGTGATATTTCATATCTGAGTCATTCTTAGTTCTGACCTGAAACTTGGCTTCAAAAAGCACCCAGGGTATTCTGCAGGAAAAGGTGCAAGAATGAAGGCATTTGAAATGTAAATACAATCCCCACTTTGAATATCATAACACTTAGGATGTGATATCAGGAAATGATAGCTTTCTTATCTGGAGATATTTAAGTAAAAAGATGGATAAGGGTGTCTTCAAAACTGCCATATTCTGAAACAGCAATACTGAGTTAATTCATTTAAAAATAACTCTATTTTCCATTTGCCTCTAAAAACACTCTTTATTCTTTCAACTTTTGAAGTTTGGCAAAGGAAAACATCCAAAGCCATATCCCATGGTAAACACAGCAAGAGTATAAGAGCAACTCATGGGACCTAAGGTCACTCTATGATTCTAGAAAATTACTAACATATCACACAAGTCTAAGGGGCTTAAAAACTGTCAATGTTTTATCAGCATCACTTCTAAAGTTGGCTGAAGTGGCCCTACTTCAGAGCACACACTGGCACTGTGACAGAACAGAGCTGAGTTATGTTTAAGCAGGGGGAAAAAAAAATCAAAGGCTAGAACATTCCTCAGAAATCATTCTGGTAATACATACTAAAAACATAACTGCCAAAGAGTCATACAATGAGTCTGGGTTCCTCCCATGGGGTCCTTGCTAATGACCCATATATGGGAGACATTACTCCTTATATTCCACCTAGGTCCTCACTTATGGAAGGGAGGGGCCAGCTTCCATGGATGAAGTGGTAATTCAGAAGGCTTTGATGCAGACTACCAAATCTTCATCAAATTTTCAGCTCAAGACCCTATCTGACGACTTTAGGGTGTCACCAGTATTACAAGCCAATTGGCTTAACACAGGTCAAAAAAAACTATTACACGGGGCAGCTACTCACCCGCTGAGACCTCCAGTACAGTTTCCATGGATGCAGGGGTTGCTCAGGCATTCGTTCACCTGTGAGTAGCAGCTGGGGTGATGGGGCCCCTCAGGACATATACAGCGGAAACCATTCACACCATTGACACATGTTGCACCCTTGCGACAGGGATTGGAGGCACACTCATCAATGTCAATGTTACATCTCTGCCCTATGGAGAAGGGGGACAGTGATACTCACATCCCAAAAGCTTAAGAAATAGACCCAGAACTATGAGACACATTATATTGACACCCTTCATCTGCTCAGGCCATAAGGTGCCTTGGGGCACTAAATGTCAAGATGTAAAGAATTAGACACCCAATAGAACTTAATGCCATGCAAGGAAGGAGCAAAGTGCATTGACTTTTGATAATCCAGTAAAGTTAACAAAAGGCTGGAAAACTGTTATAGCAATTTGTCATTTCCTTTCAACTCAGAAATGGGGAAACTTCACAAGTTCTAAAAAGAAAACACCAAATGTTACCAAAGAAAGCTTCACTTCTTAATGCTGTCCTGAGTACAACTCAAAGAAGCATTCATTAATATGCTTCGTATTGGTTTACCACAAATTTATTTTCTCAGTTAGCCTCTTACATTTCTATTTATGGTAAATCCAAATTAACTGGAATGCTTAATGAATGGGCTAGTAACTTAATTCAATAATTAAATTGATTATAAAGAAAAGCTATTTTGTTTTCATTCTTAGAATCGCATTAATTCTTTTTTTTTTTTTAACCTCAGGAAGTAGAGTCTCAAAGCATAACTTTGTTGTCCTCTGATGTTGGAGAAAATAATGCAGAGTCTGTCATTGTAGACCTATAGTTCTTAAACTTTAATGTGCAAAATCATCACTTTATTATTTTAAGTGGAGATTCCTAGGCCCTATCATCATAGATTGTGATGAATAGAATCTGGTAAACTACATTTTTAAAAATGCAGTTGGTATAAAAACTAGATTTTGAGAAATTCTGTTCTAAACAATTATTACTTATCATCATCATACAATGTAGATACTGGGAGTAAGTGAAATTGAAGTGAACATGTTGTTCCTCTAAGACATAGCCAAGATTGCCTTTAAAAAGATGTCTGATATAACCTTCATATGTCTTAGGCTGAATAAAGCAACATGGGCCAGTTGTACAAGTGCTTCCATTTGTTATGTTTTGAATAACTGAGATTTAACTATATTTTCCAAAATGATATGAAATCTTAAAATTACCTATAATTCTATAAATGAGTGGCATCAAGCAACTGCTATGAAAGAACTTATAGATCTCAAAGAATACAATGTTCTGATTCAGATTTTGAAAACATGCATTTTTCTCATTTAAGAAAGAGCAATCCCATATTTAGAACAGGATATTCCAAATGAAATAGATACCCATTCCTATAAAGAATGAGTATTCACATTTTTTCACCCTCCATTGCTCTCTAAACCATTACTGGTGGTTCTTGTGGTAAAAACCCATAATCTGGAAGTGGCTGCTGTTTTCCTTTTAAGTGTTTTATTAATAGCTTATTTTTAAACACTATTTCCTTGGCCTCAACCACTGATTCTTTGAGATGTTTGTCAGTAACACCAAAATATGAACCAGAGCTCTTCAAGCACACAGCCTCAGCCTGTATGTAATACAGTGAAGGATGACAGAAAAAAGCCTTTTTCATTTTTGGTCTTTTCTTGGAAGTATCTCCTCAGAAGCCACTCCTCCTAAGTTTTCTTTATTTGCTTTTAAACTCTTTGCAGAATAAATGTTCAAGCCATCTTTATTTCAAAGCATTAAATGCAGTCTACTATGTTGATTGACAGCTGGTCTGTCAGCAAGGTCCTACCCTCAAAGAGTTTCCACCGAGCATCAGAAAGTCCAGTGGAAGGCCAAGCAACTTATTAGGCTCAGTAACTGAAATAAGAAGTTACCCAGTGTTTCTTACTACTGAGGCACTCAATAAATTGGTGTTTAATAAATGAAAGCACTGGCATAGGCCACACTTGAGAGTCTGGCATTAGCTAGCAAAAGTGTTGTATTTGAGTCCCATTCATTCGTTCATTCAGCAACATTTACTGTTTCCTGTGTGCTAGACATTGCTTTAGACACTTGCTATAAAGGATTATTACACAAGGTTTCTGCCTTCTGGGAACTCAGAGTCCTCACTATGCAACTAACTAGCAGAGGCCATGAGTATATACACCAAGGTCTATCTCTCGGTTGCCTTATTTGTCAAATAGGGATAGTAGAACTTCCTTTCTGGACTGCTTTGAGAATTTAGGGAAATAATGGGTATGAAGGTGCTTTGTAAAACTGAAAAGCAGTTTACAGAAGTATCACATAATTCCTTACCTTCTCCCATTTAAAAAGGGTCTAAGAGAACAGATAACTTAGTATTAAAACAAAACCCAAAAAAATCTCCTTTAAAGCTGTCAAAGCTATTATTAGAATGATACGGGAAAAATGTATTAAAATAAAGCAAGAGCAAGAATAAAACCCCTCACATTTACCACTCATGAGTATATACCACAGTCATCTCTGACATTTTCAGCAGCTGATTAAAAAAACCATCTCAGACATAGACAACAGTTCCAAGAACAGGGGACCGCCTAGTAACCAAAACATTCCATTTCTTGCTTATAGGGTTTCATGCTACACCTTAGGTTTATTTTAGAATATTTTTAGCCTATGTTCTCCCTTCTTGACCTTCCTGGTTTGCTGAATGTTAAAAAGAGAAACAATATGATTCATTGGTGTTTTGAAAAAAATGAGTCCAGTAGAAGAAGCCTTACATAAATACACACACACACACACATACAACAACAACAACAACAACAACAACAGACCCCTAATCAGGATGTCCAGTGTTGTGGAAATGAGTACAGGCTCTGGGGTCAGATTGCCTGAGATGTAATTCTGGCTGCTGTGCACTAGTAACATTACTTCTCTGCATTCTGGGTTACTTTTTTTTTTATTATTTATTGCATTTTAGGTTTGGGGGTACATGTGAAGAACATGCAAGATTGTTGCATAGGTACACATGTGGCAGTGTGATTTGCTGTCTTCCTCCCCTTCACCTATGTCTGGCATTTCTCCCCATGCTATCCCCCCCCAACTCCCCACCCCCCCCACTGTCCCTCCCCTATTTCCCTCCAACAGACCCCAGTGTGTAGTGCTCCCCTCCCTGTGTCCACGTGTTCTCATTGTTCAACACCTGCCTATGAGTGAGAACATGCAGTGTTTGATTTTCTGCTCTTGTGTCCGTTTGCTGAGAATGATGGTTTCCAGGTTCATCCACGTCCCTACAAAGGACACATACTCATCGTTTTTGATGGCTGCACAATATTCCATGGTGTATATGTGCCACATTTTCCCTGTCCAGTCTATCAATGATGGGCATTTGGGTTGGTTCCAGGTCTTTGCTATTGTAAACTGTGCTGCAATGAACATTCGTGTGCATGAGTCCTTATAGTAGAACGATTTATAACCCTTTGGATATATACCCAGTAATGGGATTGCTAGGTCAAATGGAATTTCTATTTCTAGGTCCTTGAGGAATCGCCACACTGTCTTCCACAATGGTTGAACTAATTTACACTCCCACCAACAGTGTAAAAGTGTTCCTATTTCTCCACATCCTCTCCAGCATGTGTTGTCTCCAGATTTTTTAATGATCGCCATTCTAACTGGCATGAGATAGTATCTCAATGTAGTTTTGATTTGCATTTCTCTAATGACCAGTGATGATGAACATTTTTTCATATGTTTGTTGGCCTCATGTATGTCTTCTTTTGTATTAAAGTGTCTGTTCATATCCTTTGCCCACTTTTGAATGGGCTTGTTTTTTTCTTGTAAATCTGTTTTAGTTCTTTGTAAATTCTGGATATCAGCCCTTTGTCTCTGGGTTTCTTACCTATTCTGTAGGTATTCTAAACAGCAGTGGCAATTGACATTAGGCACTTAATTGACTGCCCAGCTCAAAATTAGCTCTTCATACTACATAGAACATAAGTGGTGAGAGAGAACATCCTTGTCTTACACCGGTTTTCAAAGGGAACGCTTCAGCTTTTGCCTATTCAGTGTGATACAGGTTGTGGGTTTGTCATAAATAGCTCTTATTATTTTGAGATATGTTTCATCAATACCTAGTTTATTGAGAGTTTTAGCATGAATGGATTTTGAATTTTATTGAAAACCCTTTCTGCATCTATTGAGATAATCATGAGGTTTTGTTATTGGTTCTGTTTACGTGATGGATTACATCATTTATTGATTTGCGTATGTTGAACCAGCCTTCCGACCCAGGGATGGAGCCAACTTGATCACGGTGGATAAGCTTTTTGATGTGCTGCTGAATTTGCTTTGTCAGTACTTTATTGAGGATTTTTGCATAGATGTTCACCAGGGATATTGGCCTGACATTTTCTTGTGTGTCTCTGCCAGGTTTTGGTATCAGGATGTTGCTGGCCTCATAAAATGAGTTAGGGAGAACTCCCTCTTTTTCTATTGTTTGGAATAGTTTCAGAAGGAATGATACCAGCTTCTCTTTGTACCTATGATAGAATTCGGCTATGAATCCATCTGGTCCTGGGCTTTTTTTTTGGTTAGTAGGCTATTAATTACTGCCTCAATTTCAAAACTTGTTATTGGCCGGTTCAGGAATTTGACTTCTTCCTGATTTAGTCATGGGAGGTTGTATATGTCCAGGAATTTATCAATTTCTTTTAGATTTTCTAGTTTACTTGTGTAGAGGTGTTAACAGCATTCTCTGATGGTAGTTTGTATTTCTGTGAGATCAGTGGTGATATCCCTTCTATCATTTTTTATTGTGTCTATTTGATTCTTCTCTCTTTTCTTCTTTATTAGTCTGACTAGTGGTCTATTTTGTTAATCTTTTCAAAAAACCAGCTCCTGGATTCACTGATTTTTTTGAAGGGCATTTTGTGCCCTCCTTCAGTTCTGCTCTGATCTTAGTTATTTCTTGTCTTCTGCTAGCTTTTGAATTTGTTTGTTCTTGCTTCTCTAGTTCTTTTAATAATGATATTAGTGTGTTGATTTTAGATCTTTCCTGCTTTCTCCTGTGGACATTTAATGCTATAAATTTCCCTCTAAACACTGCTTTAGCTGTGTCCCAGAGATTCTGGTATGCTATGTCTTTGTTCTCATTGGTTTCAAAGAACGTACTTATTTCTGTCTTAATTTCATTATTTACCCAGCAGTCATTCAGGAGCAGGTTGTTCACTTTCCATGTAGTTGTATGGTTTGAGTGAGTTTCTTAATTCTGAGTTCTAATTTGCTTGCACTGTGGTCTGAGAGACTATTGGTTATGATTTCCATTCTTTTCCATTTGCTGTGGATTGTTTTACTTCCAATTATGCGGTCAATTTTAGAATACGTGTGGTGTAGTGCTGAGAAGAATATATATTCAGTTGACTTGGGGTACAGCGTTCTGTAGATTTCTATCGGATCCACTTGGTCCAGAGATGAGTTCAAGTCCTGAATATCCTTGTTAATTTTCTGTCTCATTGATCTGTCTAATATTGACGGTGGGGAAAGTCTTCCACTATTATTGTGTGGGTGTTTAAGTCTCTTTTAGGTCTCTAAGAACTTGCTTTATGAATCTGGGTGCTCCTGTATTGGGTGCATATATATTTAGGATAGTTAACTTTTCTTCTTGCATTGATCAATTTACCATTATGTAATACCCTTGTCTTTTCTGATCTTTGTTGGTTTAAACTGTTTTATGAGAGACTAGGATACCAACCCCTGCTTTTTTTTTTCTTTCCATTTGCTTGGTCAATATACCTCCATCCCTTCATTTTGAGCCTATATATGTCTTTGCATGTGAGATGGGTCTCCTGAACACAGCACACCGATGGGTCTTGACTCTTTATCCAATTTGCCAGTCTGTGTCTTTTAATTGAAGAATTTAGCCCATTTACATTTAAGTTTAATATTGTTATGTGTAAATTTGATCCTGTCATTATTATGCTAGCTGGTTATTTTGCCCTTGAGTTCTGGCCAGGGCAATCAGGCAAGAAAAAGAAACAAAGGGTATTCAAATAGGAAGAGTGGAAGTCAAATTGTCTCTGTTTGCAGACAACATGATTGTATATTTGTCTCAGCCCCAAATCTCCTTAAGCTGATAAGCAACTTCTGCAAAATCTCAGGTTACAAAATCAATGTGCAAAAATTACAGTCATTCCTATACACCAATAACAGACAAACAGAAAGCCAAATCATGAGTGAACTCTCATTCACAATTGCTATAAAAAGAATAAAACACCTAGGAATACAACTTACAAGGGCTGCAAAGGACGTCTTCAAGGATAACTACAAACCACAGCTCAAGGAAATAAGAGAGGACAGAAACAAATGGAAAAACATTCCACGCTCATGGATAAGAAGAATCAATATAATGAAAATGGCCATACTGCCCAAAGTAATTTATAGATTCAATGCTATCTCCATCAAGCTACCATTGACTTTTTTCACAGAATTAGAAAAAAACCACTTTAAATCTCATATGGAACCAAAAAAGAGCCCATATAGCCAAGACAATCCTAAGCAAAAAGAACAAAGCTGGAGGCTTCACACTACCCGACTTCAAACTACACTACAAGGCTATAGTAACAAAAACAGCATGGTACTGGTACCAAAACAGAGGTATAGACCAATAGAACAGAACAGAGGCCCCAGAAATAACACCATACATCTACAGCCATCTGATCTTTGACGAACCTGACAAAAACAAGCAATGAGGAAAGGATTCCCTATTTAATAAATGGTGTTGGGAAACCTGTTAGCCATATGCAGAAAATGGAAACTGGATCATTTCCTTACACCTTATACAAAAATTAACTCAAGAAGGATTAAAGACTTGGACATAAGACCTAAAGCCATAAAAACCCTAGAAGAAAACCTAGGCAATACCATTTGGGACATAGGTTATGGGCAAAGACTTCATGACTAAAACACCAAAAACAATGGCAACAAAAGCCAAAATTAACAATTGGGATCTAATTAAACTAAAGAGCTTCTGCACAGCAAAAGAAACTATCATCAGAGTGAACAGACAACCTACAGAATGGGACAAAACTTTTGCAATTTATCGATCTGACAAAGGGCTAATGTCCAGCATCTATGAAGAACTTAAACAAATTTACAAGAAAAAAAAAAAAATCACAAAGTGGCCAAGGGGCATGAACAGACACTTCTCAAAAGATGACATGTATGCAGCCAATGAACATATGAAAAAAAGCTCATCATCATTGGTCATTAGAGAAATGCAAATCAAAAACCACAATAAGATACCATCTCACACCAGTAAGAATGGCTATCATTAAAAAGTCAGGAAACACAGATGCTGGAGAGGATGTGGAGAAACAGGAATGCTTTTACAGTTAGTGGGAATGTAAATTAGTTCAACCACGGTGGAAGACAGTGTGGCAAAGGATCTAGAACCAGAAATACCATTTGACCAAGCAATCCCACTATTGGTATATACCCAAAAGATTATAAATTATTCTACTATAAAGACACATGCACATGTATGTTTATTGTAGCACTGTTCACAATAATAGCGAAGACTTGGAACCAACCCAAATGCCCATCATTGATAGACTGGATAAAGAAAATGTGGCACATATACACCATGGAATACTATGCAGCCACAAAAAAGGATGAATTCATGTTCTTTGCAGGGACATGGATGATGCTGGAAACCATCATTCTCAGCAAACTGACACAGGAACAGAAAACCAAACACCACATGTTATCACTCGTAAGTGGGAGTTGAACAATGACAACACATGGACACAGGGAGAGGAACATCACACACCAGGGCCCCCTAGGGGGTGGGAAACTAGGGGAGGGATAGCATTAGGAGAAATACCTAATGTAGATGATGGGTTGATAGGTGCAGCAAACCACCATGGCATGGGTATACCTACATAACAAACCTGTACATTCTATACATGTATCCCAGAACTTAAAGTTAATTAAAAAAAAAATAGTTCTTTATAAATGTTATCTATTTTCTTTGTATTACCCACTTACCAACAATGTACCTATTATCCTAAATAGCAGGGATTTTTGTATATTCACTTGACTGCCACCTGATCTTGGAGTACCAAGTTTCAGGATGCAGAACACCAGGCTATGACAGCAGCACTGGGCATTGGGCATGACAGTTTTCATCAGATTTGGCTTCTCAGTGATCTTTCACTCAACAGGGATCACTGTGACCCATTTGGGCTGCAAACTTTCCTCTCTAGTGTCCACAATCATACCAAATAGGAGAAACACTTGTGAAACAGACAGCAAAGTACATTCCTGGCAAATGAATGGTGGACATTCACTTAGCTTTGGCTGATTTTTTGCAGCCTCTATGAAAAGCTTTGAAGGGTGTTTCTCACATTCGGGTACAAACGACCACATGAAAATTATTAAAAAGTAACATGTTAGTGTCTGCTTCTGTGTGTCACTGTCCAGAAGGAACAGAATGTACAGTGTGTGTGCCTTCTGATGATGCCAATAAGAAACTCAGGTGTGTCTGTGAGAGGCCCCAGGTTTCTGTAGTAGTAGCCTCCAGTACTTTTTGATCAGGAGGGTAAAAGATAAAGGTAATATTAACAAGTAAAGGGACAGGAGATGTGTGTGTGTGTGTGTGTGTGTACTCACATGTGTGTATGTGTAAATGCTCAGGCTGTTTATACTTTTCTAAGAAGAGTTATATTCAAAATTCTTCTAGCCATTTACTTTCTTCCTCCTGGGCAGAAAGATCTCTCTCATGCTATCCAAATTAGGGTGGTCTCCCCCAAGCTCTGACCTCATCCAACAATTGTTCAGAAGGGGAAGTACCCAGAAATAAGCATTCAGTGTTTTCACAGACTTCTATCCTAAGCTTGTCAAAAAGGAAGTACCCAGAAACAAGCATTCGGCGTTTTCATAAAATTTTACCTTGAATATGTCTTTATGGAAGGCATTAACTACTACCTGTAGTCAATAAACACAAGCTTTGGAAGCAATATAACTCAAGCAAGGCAAAGGCAATTTATAGACTGTCCAGGAATTATTTTCTGGTAGCAATAAACATATAGTCTAAAAGCTCTAATTAATGAAAAGTATTTTTCAGTATAGAAAAGGTCTGTGAACAGAAAACTGGTCTAGAGAAGCAGAGAAACGGACTTCTAACCTTCCAGAGAGAAAAAGAAATAGAAAACACTTGAAAAGCAATATTTCTTTGGATGCTACATTCCCAAGGTGATGGGGCTGAAGGAGGGCCTTGCAGTAAAAGGAGCCTTACCTGTGAATCCTGGAGAGCAGACACAACTGTAGTGATTAACGCCATCCATACAGATTCCATGGACACAAGGGTTACTTGTACAGTCATCAAAATTAATTTCACAATTTACCCCTGGAAGAGAAAACCAAATGGAAACCATTCAATATTACCACAGAAATACTCAGGCTTTCTGCTTGTCATGCAGCAGCATGTTAAGAAATCTAAGGTACATCCAGCCAACCCTGGACAGAATAAAACAGTAGTTCTCAAAATGAGTCCACAGACTGTTTCAGGAGGATGTAGAGGTCCAAAGGATTTTACTAATCATACTTAACCACGATCTTTCCTTTTCACTCTGCTAACATTCACACTAATGATGCAGAGGCAATGGGGTGAAACTGATGGCATCAGCATGAATCAAGGCAGTAGAACCAAAGTGTACTATAATTATTCTATTGCTCTCCTCCACATGCTCACAGTTAAGCAAAAAAACCAGTTTCACTCAAGAGTGGCTTTGTTGAGGAAGTTAAAATTAGTGACTTTATAATTTTAATAAATCTCAACCCTTGAGTAATGTCTATCACTCTATGTGATGAAATGGAAGTATACATAAAGCATCTCTGTGGAATGCCAAGTACAAGAGTTGTTTCCAGGAAGAGCCATTGTGCTATTGTTTGACCCATGAGTTGAAATAGCTGCTTTCTTCATGGAACCCCATTTTAACTGAAAGAGCAACTGACAGACAAACCAGAGTTAATCAGAATTGAATATTTAGCAAATATAAAGTGAAAGGAGCAAACCTGGCATTCTGGGGAAAAATAAATTGACAGTATTTTGCCAAAGATAAAACTTAAGCTTTCAAATCAAAATTAGAATTTTGGAACTTGTATCTATCACTGTGAGCGGGCTAAATTTCAGGATAAATCTTGAAGAGTCTAGTAACTTCCTCCTGAGGTAAGCTGCCTATTCCTGCTCTACTGCATAGATGAATGGAAGAGTTTGATTATATTAACAGTAGGCAATCATTATTGTTACCATTATTTGTAAAAAGATAAAAAGTTATTTTACTTTTTATTTTTGTTTGAATTTAGTGATCCTTTCTGAGAATCACAGAATAATATTTTGCTAGTTTACAAAGACTAAAAATAAAACCTGGTAATGAGAATATGTAAAAAAAAAAAAAAAAAAAATCCAGGAAAAAAATGCCATACTTGTGATTCACTCATACTTTGTTTTCCTTTCTTTCTTTCCTTTCAGAGACAGGGTCTTGCTCTGTCACCCAGATTACAGTGCAATGACACGATCACAGTTCACAGCAGCCTCAAGCAGTCCTCCCATCTCGGCCTTCCAATTACAAGTACATGCTAGGTCTTTTTCCACCATGCCTGGCTAATTTTTATTTATTTATTATTTTTTGTAGAGACGAAGTTTTGTTCTGTTGTCCAGGCTGGTCTCAAACTCCCAGACTCAGGCAATCCTCCCACCTTTGTCTCCCAAAGTGTTGAGATTACAGGTATGGGCCACTGTGTCCATACGCCTCTGTATTAATGTTTATTAATAATAATTACAGAGGAACAATTTATTGAGCTCTTACTATATGCAAATTACTCTACTTCGCCTGATACGTAAGTTTTCTCTAACCCTGTCACCCAATCTGTACATTAGTCTGTTACACCCATTTAATAGAAAACAGGGCGGACCTGCACAGTGCCACCATCAGGGCAGGGCAGCTGGGCTCACCCTGTTTGTGTGGCTCCACAGCTTCATCCTCTTTCCACCACACCATAATGTCATCCTGTGAGTAATGAGGCTATACTGCCCAACTAGCCATAAATGAGGAAAAGATTTACAGATCCCCTATAGAGAAGTGAATACCTTTAGGAGATGTTTTCTAACCCTTGACTGACAACCCCCTAAAACCATGAAGGCAGCACTCCCTCCCAATAAAGCCCTGATGATCCAATGTGACTCCAGCCCCCCGCCCATGGTTTATTGGAGTAGGAAAAGATGCCTGGATCAAGACAGGCCAATGAGATTTTCTCATTACAACACTGAAATACAGACTATGGGACCTCTGGTCTACAAATGCCCAGCTTCCTGTTATTTTCTCCAAAGCCTTAATTGCTTCAAATCTGTAAGAGGCTTCTGGGTGCTTTAACTAAGTTCTGTTTCTTTGTTACGTTGTTGTCTAGTTTTTGTAAATGATTATATAAGCCAGCTCAAGCTGGTCTCTGTTACTTGAAACACAAAGAAACTTACTTAAAAGTTAATCATCATAAAAGCAGAGATGAGAGAGGGTACTGAAGGTGACTCTGGGTAGTATATCTCACTTTAAGTACCCAGTGAGTGACCACCACTGTTAGCTGGCAAACTGAAGTATTTCTTCCATCTACTCCACTATCCATACACCAAACTACCAACCTAGGCCACACAAGTGGAACAGGAATTCTTACTCTAGAACTTGAGACTCTATTCATAATGCCTCATTTAATGCCACCCAGGTCCGTGGTACATGCTAGCTCTTTTTCCACCCATTAGAGACCAACATTTTTTTATGTTGCCTGACTGTTGCTTGCTTTAATTCTCCAAACATTTGCAGGAACGTCTTGGGCTGGGCCTTCCTTTCCATGATGCCTACAGACCACTCATTGACTTCTCCACTTCTCAGGGACAGCTACTTACACCATACCCTCTCTGTCCTCCTCAGAAAACACCTGATACATCCAGGTATAATGATATAATCTCAGAGAAAACAAACTGCTTGCCAACCCACCACTCACCAAGGTTTCCAGTATGTTTATTATGATGGGAATGATAGCAGAGTCTAAAATGGCCCTTCCATTCTAAAGGCATCCTTTCAATTGCCTGTAAATCTCTCAAATTTCTTTTCCTACTGTAATTTCTCATGTCTGAGGAACAGCCCGGAAGCAAATTGCTTTTGGAAGTTTTCACAAAGATCTATTGAGCTCTTTTAGAGAGTTATCTAAATGTGGGGAGGGAAAGGCATTTTCAGCTGTGACAGCATGAGATGTTTTTCGTATGCTTGAGCAATTCAAAAAGGACTTTGTTTTCAAACTTGGCATGTATGAGGCCTTGGATAAAGACCAGGGCCTTTGACGAGTTTGGAGAAATGGATTTGGAAACAATAGAAGAAAATGAGGGCAGCTAACTACCTTCTCCACCTCTGCTCCCTACATAGGTCATTTTCCTTACATCCAGAATCATTCTCAATAAATCACTCCTTTATATTGGCAAGTTTCCTTCTCACAACGGCACACATTAGTTAATCTTTCACTGATACATTTTCCTTTGATCTGGAACATAGTACTTCTGTATCTATTAACCATAGTTGTGACCATAATCATTCATCTAATAAGTAAAACAGAATCATTCAAACCTGTGAGATGCTGCTGCCTGAGAAAATAATTCTACATCCCCCCAACCAGGAGCAGGAGGAACTCTGAGGACAGTAACCAGCAGCTCTGCATTCTACTTTACAGTTACTGTGGTGTCCTGCTAGGTATCTCCTCTTCCGTAGAATCCCCCAAGATGGCTAAGGCCCCAGCAGAGACAAGTGACAGAAGAAATGTGTCCCACAAAGGAGACTGAACTGTGAAAGAGAAAATACACTAAAGGAAGAGAAAATACACTAAAATAAGTACTGGAAACCTGCATGAGTGGTGGGTTGAGAGAAGAAAGGGGCCACACTAAAGAGACTGACCTGTGAAAGAGAAAATACACTAAAGGAAGAGAAAATACACTAAAATACGTACTGGAAACCTGCGTGAGTGGTGGGTTGAGAGAAGAAAGGGGCCACACTAAAGACACTGACCTGTGAAAGAGAAAATACACTAAAAAAAGGGAGGAAGAAAAAAAGTAGGAAGGAAGGGAGGGAGGCAGGGATTTATTAATCTGGGTGGGGTGGAACTTAAAGAAAAAAGATAATATAGCCACAAATAAGAGTGTTTTCAATTTTAAATCATTTTGATTTTTGAAGTGATGTTCCTCTATTTAACAAAACACACACACACACACACAAAATCATTCAGATTGGCAAAGCTATTGTCTCCGACCTCTCCACTGACTAGGGCCACCTGCCTTGGGACATTTATGCTTGTGGCTTTGGCTGTGCTTCTCAGAATCAGGACTGTGTTTTAGGTATCCGAGCATATGCCAACAGTCTGAAACATCTGTGTAAATTGATTTGAGAAACAGTGAAAAACCCATACTAAACATAAATGGAGTGGGCTTACCTGACGTGCCCGGCTGGCAGTTACACTGGTAGCCATTGACCAGGTCGATGCAGCGACCATCGTTCAGGCAAGGGTTGCTGTAACATTCATCAATCTGGTCACTGCAGATGGTGCCCATGTACCCGGGACTGCAGATGCAGGTGTAGGAATCAATACCATCCTGACACTGGCCATGGTGGCAAGGATCGGGGTCACAGTTGTCAATGTTCTCCTCACACAACACACCAGTGAAACCTTTAGAAATAATTTTATCAAGGATTCTCAAAAACCAAGGCAGATTCACCTGAACACAAGTGTAGCTACATCTATTTACTCTACACATTCCATGTGTGATCAATTAATACAGCTGGCCTTGAGCAGTAGAAAATTACTATCTGCATTGATTTAGAAAGCATGCCTGGAGAGCGGTTCTTAAAGATTTCCAAATCGAATTTTAGAATTGAACTAGCTTTGCAACTGATCAATAGTTTCACTGCAGAGATGCCTTAACTGCATCTTCATTTCTTATTAGGCTTCAGGCTGTAATACCTCAAAACATTTTTCCTTTATATATTTATCTTTGTATTTCTTTCTTCCCAAGCCCAAGATACAGGTTAATGATTTCATGTATCTTATGTCCCCAATTCTGACTTTGAAGGTCAGAGAACTTTATTTTACTTCTCTCAACTCTTCTGAGAGTACTATGCATATATAGTAGTTTTAAATAAATACTGGTTGAATACAGTGAATGAACCTGTTATGAACATTTAAAAGAAAAAGAGACAAGCAAGAGTTTCTTTCTTCAAGGCTTAAATAGATGACAAACATTACACCTTTCCTTAAAAGGCTCCAGGAGGCCTCTCCCCACTTTTAAACCTGAGCTAAAGGTTTTTAATCTCTTTGAAACTTATCCTCTACAAGAAGAATCTGGCCAGGGGAAGACAAAATCTGGATTCTCTGACAAGTGGCAACTATTTGCAAAAAGAAAGTGGCTCATCTGAGTTGTCCTAACCTAAGTAGGTCTAATAATTGAAATATTAACTTTCTGTACTAATTTTCACAACTAAACTTGCTTTTCTGTAATCAGAAAGAAATTATATGCATGACGCCTGTAATCTTTAAGACTCCATTCTCTAAAATAAGATAATGTCTTGAATTATATAAATAACTTCTTTCTCAAGCAGTCAGATAATAAAGAAGTTCACTTCTAATAATTTCTAGCCTTTCTATATAATACTGGCCTGTGTAAAAGGAAATGTGTAACAGGGAACATCTGGCTTACTGAAATCCAATCCCAAGTGAAAAATGTGATTACAAACCCAGAAATGCAGAATATTTGTGCACAGATCATTTTCAACTCTAGTTGCAGAAGTCCACAAAGAGGACCCAAACTTTCCCAGTTAGAGCTCTCTCTCCTGTCATTTATACACTTGACACTCAATATGATTTGGAGTCTTTTATGCAGAATACCCCTGCACTTGTACACATTCAGCCTTTAAATTTCTGGGCCTCCTTTCAGTCACTTGCTTTATGAAACACAGAGCCAGGACTCCTGCTGAGAAGCTCCAATGAAAATAGCTTTCAACTGGAATTCTTCTCTTTCCTAAATGAGTAAATCTAGCCAGCTGGAAACTTACTGCTGCCAAAATCTGTCCCAGAAAGACATGGATACCAAATGGAAATATCTGGGCCAGACCACTATTGTGGTGGAGGAGGCAGGTACTGTAGAAAAAGAGTGAGAGCAACAAAAACTTTGCTTGAAGCAGCTCTTTCTAAACACGGAGTAGCCCCTGAGAGTGGACTGGCCTGGTCGAGTGGCTAGCAGAGGACAGGGACAATCACCCTATTTTGTTCAGATAGACCTACCAAGGAGATGAAAAGTGAGAAGAGTCTTACCTGTGGCACACTGGCATTCATAGCCATTCGGGTGATCAATACACTTTGCCCCATTCAGACATGGAGTACTGGAACAGTCATCAATATCAATCTGGCAAACTGGCCCAGTAAAACCTCGAAAAGGGACAGTGATAACATGAGTTGAAGGATTATCTCGCACCTTCCTTCACTATAAGAATGATGTCCAGTGAGGGGTAGTTTCGCTTACTGGCATGGCTTATGCCAATGGGTCAATAGGCCTATGCTTTATTATTCTCCCCAACAGGAAACTGCAATGACCAGGTGACACTCAGGGAATCAGAGGCACTTGTGGTGTGTCTCCACCACTGCTTCTTCACAGACAGACTTCACTTCTAAATGATGGAAGCAGGAAGTGAAATTTATAGGTGGAACCCTCCAATAAGTAACTTTAGCTTCAGAGGCAACAGAAACATTCTCTCTGAAGATACAATGCGGTAAGATATAGTCTATGGAGGACAATTTGGCATATCTTCAAAAATAGCTTGAGAAAAAAAAAGGAAAGACAGAGAATCTTAGAAAAATTGGCATGTGTTGTCTGTTTCTGGACGCAAGGGTGAAATGTCTAAAAATAACAATCTCACAGAGGGCCTTCAAGAATATGACCCATGGGAAAAAAATAAAATCCCGAATAGCTACAACTAAGGCTTCTATGAGGTATGAGCATTCTGAAATACAGACACAGACAAAGAGGTCATGGGCCATTCAAGAATAGACTTGGAGTTCTGGCCACAAAGGATTTGTAAGACATAGTACCTAAAACAAATTCTCTATTTCTGTACACACACACTCCTATCACCAAGCACTTGGTTTAATGATTTCCTCATGCGCAGCCCACACACGTTTTCTCCCTTCTCTCTTCCCTGCTGTCAGTTGGTTTTGTGCTTTAACAGAAGACAGGGGCAGGTGGTGGGCACTTACCAGGAGGACACAGACACTGGAAACGATTGACTTTATCCACACATTGCCCATTGTTCACACAAGGGTTGCTCTGACATTCATTTATTTCCAACTCACAATGCACACCTTTGAAACCTAAACAAAACAGACCACACAAGTGGCTTAAAAAGACAGAAAGGTGTATTCCAGACAAGAAAGCACACATTTGCAATGATAACTACATCTTCTGTGAGTATGCACATTTCTGCAAAGAGAAAAGGAACTCTGCCATGGTGAGAAATAGTCACTCCAAGCATCAAGCAGGACAGGGCATACTATGAGATATCCATGTTACTGTGAAAAGCAGGAAGGGATTACCTTAAAAGACATTGGTAAAAACTAGCATATAAACAAGGACTGCTCCACATTTTCTGTGACAAATCCATACTTTCTGGACTGTGGAAGGCCCAAACTGTCCCTGCTCTATGTTCCTAAAGACAAGCCGAGCTGGAGCTGCTGTTGCCTTCGGGGTGCAGGTCGAGGTCAGGAGTGCCTTCCAAGGCTGGAGTTGCTGGCAGCTTTAATCAGGCAGAGCAGCCAATGTTAGCCATCATTTCAAGGTGGACTTGGCTGTATCCTCTGAGGAATCAAGACATGGTCTCTGCAGAAGAGCTCCAGAATACAACTAAACACATGTGGTGCACTTTAGATAAATGGAAACTTCTTATATAATTGTGGATAAAATTTACTTCTGTAAATGGAATAGTATGGTATTTATAATTATATTAAGGTATCATAAAAGCTTGCTAGTTTTCAAAAAGTAGAAATTTTTTTTTGAAAATTTCTATTATATATATGTGGATTTTGATGTAACAGGCTTGTTTAATTTGGCCTACATAGCTTGATGAACTCTAGCACTGCCTTATTCCTCAAGTAAGGAAAGTTTGCTTGTGAACCCTGGCTTTCTCTAGTCCCCAGTCAGCACAGGAAATTAAATGCTGACAGAGCTCATGAGACTGCAATAGTATACTGAATGCTCTACCAAGAGAAGTTCAGAGCAGTCCCCCCTCTCTAGACCCCACACACTGATGGGCTCATTTACCTGGCATGCAGAGACATGTGAAGCCTCCAATCTTATCCAAACAGGTAGCATCATTCTGGCAAGGGTCTGAATGGCACTCATTGATGTCCATCTCACAACGAGGTCCTGAATAACCCTTCAGGCACTCACAGTGGAAGCCACCTTCTGTGTTCACACATTTTCCTGCATGCTCACAAGGATTGCTGTTGGCTGAAAGACAGGAGTACCAATTACCGGGATCAAAGCACTTGAGTTTCCACAAATGTGGATGATAGAAGAGGATCTGATGATTATAGCATCAGGGCCAGGCGTTTAATAATATCATTCCCAATTTTTTATTTTTTTCCTCTTAATTTAAAAAGAAAGAAAAACAGAGTATTCTCAACTGTCATGCATTTCTGCTATTGCAGTTTTTGCCCAAACTGTCACTGAGGTAGGGCTTTATATTGAGAATCAAGTACACACCTTTCATACATTTAATCCCCAGAATAGAATATATGGTTATGGTTATGGTTATACTGAAAACCTAGTTGTAAACGCTGTGCATGTAGCAAGAGAAATCTGACGTTTAGGTGTAACTTGCTCCTACAGTAAAATGTGCTTCAGTTTAAACATTTGCTGAGCTCAACAGACACTCCACGGAATAGAATAAGTTCTGGGTACTCACCCATGGCACACTCATCCACATCTTCTGTGCAGTCAGCCCCTTTGTAGCCTTGCGGGCAGGTGCAAATATACTGCCCATTCAGGGGGTTGGTGTCACACAGTGCCCCCTTGTGGCAAGGATTGCTGATGCATGCATCATCCAGATGACATAGGAGACCTGTCACAGGGTGGAGCAAAGAAGAACCAAGAGAAAATGTCTCTCACTTGGGGAAGCGCTTTCTCTTTCACCAAGGAGGGAAAACCTCATGATCGGTTCCTCAGAATCCAACATGGAGATTAATAGGCAACTTCTGCTTTGCCTGACCTACCTTGGGGACACGCTTGGCCGCCATCAAAGCACCTAACCACAACCCTAGAGCTCTGGCCCTAAGCCCTCAGCTAGACCGCTCCTCCAGGGCAGAGACATCTATAGGCCAGAAAAGAAGAAGAGGGAGACAGAAAAATGGAACCATCTTCCAGATAGTGTGCCAGATTTAGCAAGTAAAATTAGATGTCCAGTTGAATTTTAGATAAACAAGAAATAATTTTTAGTATGTCTCAAATATTCCATACATCCCATATTTTATCTGGAATCCTACTTCCCCAATATTATGCTACCTGATGATCATGGGGCCACATGAACATCATCAGCCTTTACTAGAGTAGCCTTTTAATAGCATCAACATTCCTGATTCAGGTGGCCCCAGGTCTCTGAAGATATGACTAGGCTTCCTGTTTTATATAGTTCACTGGCTTTTCCAGTCTGCAATTAACTTAAGAACAGGTAACTAAGGCTTCTTCCACAAAGCTGGTGCTAAGGCTTTTGGAAAAGGCATCCATCAAAGAACATTTCAAAACTGCCGGGCAGAAAGTTCTTCCAGCTAAATTACCTTTTCCCATCACCTTCCCCCTTACATTGCTCTCCTTCTCCTTGAACTAGTAGCTAGAGCAATGTTAACTTTGTAGCATGTCAAAATCTTCCCTGAGAGGAGTATTTTCAGAGACTTGAGGGTTAGAAGGCACCTAAAATGTTTCTCTCCTTACAACTTCTTCTGAGTAAATGGATTGTTTCTTCATAATATGAAGCCTGTGGATCCATTTATTAGTCACTTTCTCTTAGCAGCTGAGGGGTTTTTCAGTGTAAGATCTTAAGGACTTCAGCAGATGCTCCAAAGACAATAGTTACTAACTTTCCTTTTTTGGAACGAAAAACTAAGGTATGTAGAGTTGAGAAGAGAGCCTGAAGTCCTAAGGAGGAAGACTATCTTCATAGCACTTTGGCTAGCAGATTACATTTCTGGAAGAGTCCTGAGTGACATATTCCCACAGATGGTAACTCAAAGAACACAGCTATTGGGATGAAAGGTATTGCCCCTTCCCAGTTTCTAGCTCCGTCCTCTGTTAACCTTACCTGCCTTCCCCTCTGGGCACATGCAAGAGAAGGAGGCCACACGGTCAATGCAGGTAGAGCCTGGAGTACAGGAGGCGAAGGCACAGTCATCAATGTTCTCACTGCAGTCATCTCCACTCCAGCCATTGACACACACACAGCCAAACCCTCCATTGCGGTTGGCACAGGTGCCACCATTCTGACAGGCGTTGGGCTGCAGCAGGCATTCATCCACATCCTCTGTGCAGAACTGTCCTTTTAGGGGAAAATTACCTTTGATTAGGGCTCTTGAGTCTTAAAGGATTAGTACCATACCAGCCCCCACACACTCTTCATCTTCATGTGACCTGTCTGAAATGAAGGCAGGCAGAACTCACAGAAAGCCAGGCCCTCAAATGAATTTTAAGACCACCCTGAGCAAATCATTTCAAGATGAAGAGAACAGTTACTACCCCTAGAAACTGACAACATGAGGTTTTAGCCAACCTATCGAAAAGAAGGTAAAACCTGTAGGATCCTTGAGTTAACTAATCCCTGGATCAATGAACCTACAAGTTAGAAGACCAAGGGAAGAAGAGTGTAAGAGATGAGTAAGAGGGGTTGGGGAGTTTGGGGAGAGACAACATAGGGAGAAATGCCAGATACAGGTGACGGGGGGATGGAAGCAGCAAACCACCTTGCCATGTGTGTACCTATGCAACAATCCTGCATGATCTGCACATGTACCCCAGAACCTAAAGTAAAAAAAAAAAAAAAAACTTGAGGAAAAAAAAAAGATGAGTAAAGAAAAAAAAATGAGAAGGAATCTATGTGCCAAACATTAGGGTAATTGTTCTATATCTTGACTGTATCAATGCCAAATTCCTGGTTGCAATATGCAACAGTTCTGTAAGATGATGTTACCACTGAGAGACACTTGATAAAGGGTACAAGAAATCTGTCTATATTAATTCTTATAGCTGTGTAAAACTACATGTAACTGGAAAAAGAAGTCTAATCTTTGAAAAGAAGACATAACAGACATTGAAAAGTTCTGGTAAAGTATGGATGTGAAGGGCAAGGCCAAGAATAGTGAGATTGGAGCAAGCTGTTTTCAGCCTAACGCACCCATACTGAAAGGATGAGGATTTGTGGAAGAAGACAAGGAAAGCCTGCCCAATGTAATAGGAGATGGAAAAAGGACTGGTATGCACTGCCTGAAAAAGAGCAAACTAAAGGAAGCTAAACATAAACCCACATCTGGCTAGGTTGCAGACCACTACTGCAGGAACAGTGGGGACTAAGGCAAAGCCTCCCGGGTCCTTTAACAAAGAATGAGAGAAAATCTTCAACTTACAACCAAGGAATCTGTGATTAACAAAAGCAGGATGGGGCCAGACCATATGAGCTATAAAACAAATTGATGATTGGTTTTGTTAGAAGTCTTTTAAAAACAGTTTAGAGAACTATCAAAGGAACTAAAACTTAGATCATCTGAATTCTCTAAAACATGACAAGTTGTTGAAAATCAAAAATATGTTAAGGTGTCCTTCATTCTTCTTTTGTAAATAAAACTTAACAAATAATTTTAAAAGGCACTCTGATGAAGAGGTCTCTTAATAAAAAAAGAACACAGTATTTGTGGTTAGAAAATGCCAAGGCTATCTCTAGACCCAGAAAATCTAACCATCTGATTGGTTCATGTATCTACAGAAGGCCTGTTAGCCATCACTGCTTGCAGATGCTAGCTGTGTCTGACCTAACCTAACTGCCTGCCTGTTCTTTATTCTTAACATTGACCTCCATTACTATAGAAACAATATCACTCTCTTACACTTATTTGGTTGCACATCTGTCCCCTCTACTTGGCCGCAGTTTAGAGGGTTCTTCTGTATTCCCAGCCAAGAGCCACCTGCCGAAGATGGCAGGATGGATATGTGGATGTCTCTGGAACTCTGTGCTCAGCATAATCCTTCCATGCTCATCTCCTCACTCCAGCCATATCAGCAACCATGTCTCTACATGATCAAACACTCCTGCCCATAGCTGACTGACCCAAGATGGGCATCTGATCCAAGCTACGTCACTGTATCTCTTCCAAATCATTGGACTACAACCACTTTGCCACATAGACCAAAAAGATGAGGCTGGTCTGCAGAGAACGTGATAAGGGTGAATCAGAAGTGCACAGAAAGCCAGGAACAGTGGCTCACCCCTGTAAACCCAACATTTTCAGAGGCCAAGGCAGGAAGATTACTTGAGCCCACAAGTTAGAGACCAGCCTGCAGGCACTACTGGGCAGGCTGAAGTGGGAGAATCACTTGAGCCATAATAATGCCACTGCACCCCAGCCTGAACAACAGAGCAAGACCCTGTCTCAAAAAAAGAAAAATAGAAAAGATGCACACAAAGAGAACAAACCATGGTGGTAGTCAAGTTGTTGGTTCCAATTGTTCCTGAAGCCCAACTACTAGTAAACCTACTCAGTGGCACAGACATTCTGAGAGGTGCCTCTTGCAACAGGTCTTCCTGAATTGAGATGGGTTCCATCAACTGCAACCCAAAGTATTAACTAATACAGAAAAAGTGAGTGAGGGATGAGGAAGTGAATGGGGCAGGTAATGAGGGTAAAAAGAAAAGAAGGAAGGGAGAAGGTGAACAAGAATGTAAGAACACTTAAAAGGAATGAGGTTGTGTGTGAGGGAGTGAGTGAAAGGAGTGAGACAGTAAATGATGGAGGGAGGTGAGGGGAAGAAGAGAAGGAGAGAGGGAGGGAGTAAGTGAATGAGTGAGTGAGTAAAGGAATCAGAGAGTGAAGGAGGGAGGGACTGAAGTCACTGGCAATCATCTCCCTCAGGGCAGATGACATCATTTATTACAGAAACTTTGCTGTCTTATACTACTAGCAGAAATGGTACCTCAGAGTAATGACATCTGTGTTATTAGGATGCAGGTGGGATTGAGAAATGAAAACATGACCAAGAAGTAGGTGAAGAGCTACTTACCACAACATGAAAATTGCTGAGTCTCGTCTATTATATTTATGCTAACTCAAATATCTACACTGTCCACTAACTAAACTGGCTTGCTGAATGTGAGCAATTTAGATGTCATTTTTCTTTATTGAGGCTTTGTGATAATTTTGGGTACTATAAGACACAGTGTGTTTAAAACTATTTTGTATACATTTCTTATGCACTGTAACAGATACTGAAATAATGTAGCAAGACAAACTAGGTAAACAAAACCATGCCTGGAAAGGAAGTATGGCAATCTTGGGAAAGGAAAGCAATAGCCATTGACTGCCTACTGAAAAGCAAGCACTGTGCTCAGAGTGCTCATAAAAATTATCTCACTTATATCTGAGGAAACAGTCTCAGAGAGGTAAAATAATTTGCCTGTGTAAGGAAGTGAGTGAAGGACAGCCGAGATTTAAACTGGGGCTGTCTCCCTCTAAAATTCTTAACAACAACCTGAGGTGTGAACCTGACAGCCATCTCTGCATATCTTGGGCTTGCTTCCCAAGGGCACAGAGGCATGGAGAAGTGGATGGGATGGAGGAGGTGAGGACTGAAATCATGACTCAAACAATTGGGTAATGGAAACACTTGTGACTGCAAACGCCCATCTAAAAGGAAAATGTATTTTTAGGCAGAGTTCACTGGTTTTTTAATAAGACTAAATTTGGAGATTAACTGCCTTCACTGAACACCTTAGCACCAGGTAACTGTTCAATAGTGCTTGTCAGGGAAAGGAAATCTAGAGATCCAAGAAGATACTGGCTTATAAGTAATTATCTACTGGATAAATCACACTTCTCTAAGGTTCAGGCACATTTCTTCAGATTCACATTCCCTCCTAGTCTCTTTTCTGCCAGATTATTTTCTCCCTATTAAAATTCTATCAACTGGTTCTATAATTCAGAATAGGAAAAACAGTAACCAGGGTGACCGTAACAGCTGCTTATTCTAAAATTCCCAGTGGAACATCTGCTACGATACAACTTCCTTCATGTCACCACCCTCCTGGCACAGGAGAAAACCAATGCAGAAGCCTAAAAATAAAAAACTTCAGGCTCAGGAAGGAAAAAAACCCAAAACCTTCCAAAGTTCACACAGTTAGTGGAGTGAGAGTGCTTCACTGAAACCCAGATCAGTCTGACTGCAAATCTGATGCTCTTCCACTGCAGCAGACTTGAGTACTCAGTCCTGGATGTGATCAACACAATCTACACACTAGGTTCCTGATCCTAGGGTCTCACAGCACCCTGAGAAGTCCTGGCTGCACAAGACCATTAAGGAACATTCGTATTAGAGAGGAATAAAGGCAGAAGGTCACTAGAGATTAGAATGGGTGAAGTTCTTGGCGATCACCTAGAGGTCTTAAGTATATGCTCTAAGGTCATTGAGCTTATCCTACTACTCCATGGCAAGAAAGCACCAGCCTGGGCTGGCAGTAGAATATTTACAGAGATATACAAGATTAAGTCTTAAAGATATTAAAATAACTGGGGTGTATTCTCTGGCTGGGGTTTTAAAAGAAGGAAAAGCTGGAGGTCATTGAGGCTTTGAATGTGAGTATGAATTTGGAACTTGATACAACAAGTAAAGGAGGATGAGGAAAGACATCATTAATACTGTGTTTGAAGGTAAGTTGGCCAATAGAATTTACAAGGAATTAAAAGCAAATGACTTTATGTTAGTAGGGAAAGGAGGAGAGACCACTAAGTTATAGGCTACCTAGCAAATAAAAGCCTTTGGTGAAACAGCGGAGCTGTATGGTTTCCATGTCCTACCAAGCTACTAAATCTTCAATACAAACAAGTATCAGCATGTATCATCACCTGTGTCAACACACAAACTTTGCTGGTGAACTCCCAAAATGTTGCACAAAGCTCAGTTAGGTAAGCTTTCAAGGGTGATAATTATCCTGCCCAGTAATATCCACCTGCCAGATATTGCAGGCTACTGTCATTTTTTTTAACATCAGCACTGAGGCAATGGGCTAGTTAGGCTCTTTTCATTGCCTATGGGCAAGAGAGAAAGAAAATAACTTGTTTTTAGAAACTACCCTCTCACAATGACTCTGGGGTAATCTGAAATATTAAAATAGCATATCCTTGGCTGATAACTTAAACACTGCGTGCAACCTGTACCTATTGACAATTTTCTGGTTGATCACTTTTGCCTCATAAATATACTCAAATCTACACCTCCCCTTTGTACAGCTTATGCTAACAACAATGACGTTTGTTGATTCCTCAAACATTAAGTTCT